AACAGAGTGAGACTCTGTCTCAATAAAGAGAGGGAGAGAGAGAGAGAGAGAGAGAGAGAGAGAGAGAGAGCAGTAAATGAATGCAAAAAAGACAAGAAGAAAAAGGAGGAAAATGAAGAAAATTAAGAAGTTTTATTTACTGTGCCTAAGCTGCAAGTAAGTAGAACTCATAAAATAAGTTCAAGCTATCGAGAAAACATGGAAAAAATTCCAGAACAATGAAAAGTGAAGAAGAAAATTATTAAAATTAAATAGCATAATAAAATTTTTTAAAAATAAAAATCCGAAAAAACAAGATATAATCTCTTCATCTGCTCGCACGAATCTATCCACATAAAGGAGTGCTTTTCAATATTGTATCAATATAGCCAAAGTAAAATATATCAATACAATAGTGCGAGGAAAACTTAAAAAAATTGGAAACAAAATAGAACACAGTGATAAATATCACGTAAGGAAACAGAAAATAAAATGCCAAGAAAAAACTTTAAAAATTAAAATTGTCTTTACATTTTATTTTATTTTTCGGAATAATTTTCTTTTTCTCTTCTAATCAAAGAATGACATTAATTTACAAATTTAGAAAAAGACAAAATAAGTAAGTAACATTTAAAATAATAAATCAAAAAAAGAAAAGCATTATTTATTTTGCTATAAAATCATATGTTAATTTTTTCAGATTGTGACTGCGGAGATGGGGTTTGTCAACTTGACTCGAATGGTAAACCCAAACCTTGTGAATGCTTTGGAAAATTAAAAGAATTTAATAAAAAGTGTATAAGTAAGTATATGTGCAGATCTCTAAAACCTTTAACTTTTGATAATAAAAAAAATAATAAAAAATAATAGGCACACTATTTTTACACCTCCAGAATTGTTTGAAAATGTATAAAATATCAGAAAATAATCGTGAACATCGAAAATTTTGATGCCTTTATTATGTTAAATTCAGTTAATTAATCCTGAGGTTACGGTTTGACAGGATTACTGTCTGGACAACCTAGAGAATAGATCGAAAACTTTACTCGGGTGCAACGCAATGCGATGCACGCAATGCGATGCACACAACACAGAAAATAAATTAGGCAATGACAAACGTGTGATCAAAATTTTGATTGATTTTAACATTTACTTTTTAGATCTGGGTCTTATTACGGTCTTGACATCGTAACTATAACCTCACCGAATGACAGTTTGTGATAAATTCGATCTGAAAATAAAAATATTTATCTATAATAATGATACAAGTTTGTTCTACTCTAAATAAGCTTTTGGAATATCACTAACATAAAACTCGCAGAATTGGATTATATAACTTTTTTTTCAGTTTTCGATGCTTACGGTTTGACGTGCCAAAATTTGGCGATAAATTTTAAGTGTTTGCAAATGTCAATATTCACGAAAAATATCATTCAAGAAAATATGATACTACAGCTGAGCAACTAAATTACGTTTTTAGTGATTTTCAGTTTCTTTTAAACAGAATGCATACTGAAAAAAAAAAAAATAAAAAGTATGCTAAACACTCTAAGCGACACTCATGAAAAGTTGTCAAATGTAGGATTGAAGTAAGAAATGAAAACCAAAAGCAAGCTACTCGCGATCAAAACTGTACGTATCTTAAAGTTAGTAATGCATAATTATTCCTGTAATTTTATTAGAATTAATTTTCGCTTATTATGTTATATATTTATAAGAAAAGTTTGAAGACATATAGGTTAATGATTTCTGAGATTCGCCCATACACAAATTATACATATAGATTTTCAATAAATAATTCACTCGTTACAATGGAATGACTAATTAGATCATTACTCTAAATTCATTTAGTTTCGCCAAAAGCTCAAGAAAAAACTCTTCAAAAGCAGAATATAATATTAAAAATATTATTTTAAACTTCACTGAAAAGTATTTTATAATAATATCGCATGTTATTTTTGTTTTCAGAGTGCGACTGTGGAGATGGGGTTTGTGAACTTGACGCTGATGGTAAACCCAAACCCTGTGAATGCTTTGGGAAACTAAAAGAATTTAATAGAATGTGTAAAAGTAAGACCAAACTTATTGTTGTTGTTTCTGATCTCCGTTGTTTAGCAACCGTGAACCAGGAAATTTGTCTTTCTAATAAAGTTTAATAATAGAATTAGGTTAGGGAAAAGATCTGGTCTGGAAAGCTTAAAACCTTTTTTTTTCTATTGGAATAAAGTAGAGATCTCTAATGTTCACTGATAGACCTGGAGATGGCATTCTGGTCTCGCCTATAAAAGTTGCGATGAAGCTCCCTGGTACCATGATGAACAAATTTAAAATAAAGCTACACTATAAATTATTAATTTGTTACAATTAAGTGTATAATTTGACCATTATACTAAATTCATTTAGTTTTGCTTTAAGGTTCTTAAATAGCTCTTAGATTGAAGATATTTTTTAACCTAAAAATATATTTTTTTAAAAATTTCACTGACAATTGCTTTACAAACATCATAAGATTTTGGTTCTTAGAGTGTAACTGTGAAGATGGGGATTTTTTTTTCTTAAAATAAATTTATTTCAATCTTCGAAAGATTTCAGCAAATCAATTTATTTTAAAAATAATTTCTTCATAACTTGTGATTGCCGGGATGGAGAATATGAGCTTGACGTAAATGGAAAACCATGCCCTTGTATCTGCTGTGGGTAGTAAAAAAAATTTAATGGGAAATGTAAAAGTGTATAGTATACAGTGTGCGAAAAAAAACAGATCACCCTGAATAACTTTTGATCTAATGATTGAATTTTCACGCTCTATTACTCAATCTTAAAGGCTCAAATACTTACTCTCTCTAAATAAACCTACCTTTTTTCGACGGATTCGGATTTCTGACTGTAAAAATATAGCGGGCAGCAGCAATCTGGGAAATATGGTCCAAATAGTTTAGTCAGGAGAGTCATCCAAAGTTTTCACTCCTTACTGTTAATTTTATTTTTTTGAGTATTTCACTATATCTCGAGAATTTTTTAATCGAATTTAAAGTTTTTTATACACAATTATAAAATTCGTTTATCCGAAGATAATTCCACGCAAAAAATTACTTTTAGTAAATATTTATTATTTTACTTAAGAATGATCGAAAAAATTTTGAATTGTAATGTGTCATTTAAGGAATGTAATTTTACATAGCAAAATACAAAATTTGAGCAAAATCGGTCGAATAGTTCCTGATAATAATAAATTACAAATAAGACAGATACCTGAAATTTTATTTTTCCGGAACTCTTCGACCGATTTTGCTCTAAATTGAATTTTGCAACATAAAATTACATTCTTTAAAATGAATTGTATACTTTACAATTCAAAATATTTTCGACTATTTTTAAATAAAACAATAAAAAATAATAAATATTTTCCGAAAGTTATTTTTCAGATGAGATTATCTCTCCAAAGGAATTTTATAATTATGTGCGAAAATTTTAAAATTCGATTTAAAAATTCTCGAGATATAGCAAAATACGCAAAAAGCAAAATGAACATTAAAGTACGAAACTTTGAAGTGCTCTCTTGATTAAAATATTGGGAACATATTTCTTAAATTGCGGCCACCCCCTATTGGTGTAGAAATCTGAGTTCATCGAGTAAAAGGTACGTTCATTCAAAGAAAGCACGTTTTGTGTTCACTTTCGTAATTTAAAATATCGCCTACACTAATTAATCAGCTTATTTGAAGTCAGACCTTGAATCATTTAGAATGAGTTCTAAAACGATAAAATCTGATCAATAAATCAAAAGTTATTAAGGGTGATCTGTTTTTTATTTTGCGCACTGTACATATGCAATTGTGAACGTTTGACAGATATAAAACTTATAAATTTACTATTTTCTTAAATTTCAGTTATTTATCAGAACTGGGTTAAAAATTTTTTTTAAATAAATAATCTACTTCAATAAATAATTAATACTTTTTTATTAATTATTTATTGAATTAATTAATATAATAATTTATATCAATCACTTTCCTATCTCTGAAAGATCTTATCAAATCAAAATAGAGTCTATGACAGCGGGGATGGGGAATATGAAATTGATTCAGATTTAAAACAAAAATCTTGTTTCTGCTATGAAAAGTCAGAAGACTTAACAAATAGATATAATGTATAAGACGGAAAGGACTTAGTATTTTTTAATCATAAATGTATTACTTCATTTTAATAAAATTCCGTATTCCTTTGAAGTGTATTTTAGAATAAAAATTTATTTCTGTATCTGATATGAAAAAAAAATTGCAATTTTCTATAAATTTATTTATAATTTACGGTGATTGTCGGAAAGACTAATACGAACTTACTTATATATATATATCGTATAGCAGGGAAAACACGGGATGTAAAACCAAATATATCTATATTAAAACATTTATTTATGGAGCACCAGATTTATACATGACATAAAGCAAAAATACGAGTTGTTTTCGTTTATCAGCGTTATGAAAATAAAATCAAGAAGAAATCTCACGTAATTTCATTTTCCTCAATAACTAAATTTTTTGCTGTTGCAACTTCTGCTATTCAACTTTACAAGATTATTGTGAATTTTTCTGACGATTCAGATTTGTAGCTCGACAAAAAAATTTATTGAAAAATCTACAACCCAAATTTCAGATTTCATAAATAATTTTCAATTTTTCTCTCTCTTTAGAATGTGACTGTGGCGATGGACTATGTGAACTAGATGTATATGGGAACCAAAAACCTTGTGTCTGTGAAGGAAAACAACAAAAATATAACGGGATATGTAAAAGTAAGTGTAAAAAACAGAGTTTTTTTTTTGTCGTATGCCTGTTCAGGCAGTGCGATTTTTCTTGTTTTTCAGTGGCGCCATCTATGGCCAAGAATTTGACTTCTGCCACAACATTCACACATCCACAAACACGCTTATAGGGAGAATCACATTCACACACACAAAGGGGAAAGGACATATAACACACAGAGAGAAAGAAACATCCATGCCTTGCCCGGGATTCGAACCCAGGACCGTTCTGATGCAAGGACAGTTCCCTGCCCCTTACACAGGCCGGTCGGCTTAAGACAGAGTTACATACATTGATTACTGAAATGCATTAAACACTTTTTACTTAACCTTTCTTTTGATTTTTAAACTATAATATTTAATCATTTTGTTTTGAGATTTCCAGAAAAGTAATTTAAGATTTTGTACAGAAATATTTAAATGACAAAATATGACAGTATTTTTCTTCTTTTTAGGCTGTGATTGTGGTGATGGAAAATGTGAACTAAATTCAAATGGTACACCAAAACCATGTGTCTGCACTGGAATATTAAAAGATTACCGAGGAAAGTGTAAAGGTAAATATGTGCAAAAAATAAAATGGTTGATTTAGAAAAATCTTAAATTTACAAAATCTCTGTTCATGAAGTATTTTAGATTCTTCAGACACGTTAGTTTTTTTAAAAACGAATTTAGCTTACTCTGTCTTTTGAATATATTTTAGCCAATAACATTTTAATACATTCTTTCTTCATAGCCTGTGATTGTGGAGATGGAAAATGTGAACTAAATTCAGATGGTACACCAAAACCATGTGCCTGTACTGGAATATTAAAAGATTACCGAGGAAAGTGTAAAGGTAAATGTGTGCAAAAAGTAAAATGGTTGATTTAGAAAAATCTTTAATTTACAAAGCTATCTCTGTTCATGAAGTATTTTAGATTCTTCAGACATGTTAGTTTTTTTTAAAACGAATTTAGCTTACTCTGTCTTTTGAATATATTTTAGCTAATAACATTTTAATACTTTCTTTTTTCATAGCCTGTGATTGTGGTGATGGAAAATGTGAACTAAATTCAGAGGGTACTCCAAAACCTTGTGTTTGCACTGGAATATTAAAAGATTACAGAGGAAAGTGTAAAGGTAAATATGTGCAAAAAATAAAATGGTTGATTTAGAAAAACCTTACATTTACAAAGCTATCTCTGTTCATGAAGCATTTTAGATTCTTGAGACATGTTAATTTTCTGAAAACTAATTTAACTTAGTCTGTCGTTTGAATATATTTTAGCTAAAAACATTTTGATTCTTTCTTCTTTTACTAAATTCAGATGGTACTCCAAAACCTAGTGTCTGTACTGGAATATTAAAAAATTATAGAGGAAAGTTTAAAGGTCAGTGTATGCATAAAAAATTAAATAGTTGGGTTAGAAACCCCTTACATTTTTAATTCTATCTCTGCTCATAAAGAATTTTTGATTCTTCTGCATTGTAATTTTTTTTGATAAAAATAATTTAATTTACTCTATTATTGGTTTCATAATTATAAATTAGCTCAATATAACTCTATATTTATCACTCCTACTCACTCTATTATTATAAATTATTTTAGCTTGTGAAATTTGTTATACTTTATTTCTTAATAGCCTGTGATTGTGGAGATGGAAAATGTGAACTAAATTCAGATGGTATACCGAAACCTTGTGTTTGTACTGGAATATTAAAAGATTACAAAGGAAAGTGCAAAGGTAAGTATATGGATAAAAATATGAAATGGTTGATTTAAAGAACCTTGAAAGTTTCATATTTATCTCCGTTCATAAATTAGTTTTGATTCTTTGGCATATTATTTTTTTAAAACTAAATCTAACTGACTCTGATATTTGAATAATTTTACCCAATGAAATTTTCTGTACTTTCTTTCTTTATAGTTTGTGATTGTGGAGATGGAAAATGCGAACTTAATACAGATGGTTCGCCAAAACCTTGTGTCTGCACTGGGATATTAAAAAATTATAGAGGAAAGTGTAAAGGTAGATATATGCATAAAAACATGAATATTTAAAATTTCACACCTGACTTAGTTCATAAAGCAGTTTGATTCTTCTACATGTTAATTTTTTAAAACTAATTAAACTTATTCCGACATTTGAATTTCCGAAGAATTTTAGACTCTTCTGCATATAATTTTTTTTTGATAAAAATAATTAAACTTTGGTTTTATATTTATAAATTAACTCAATATTAACTATAACTCTATATTTATCACTACTTCTCACTCTATCATTATAAATTATTTTAACTTTAATTATTTTAATTATTTTAACATTAATTTGAATAATTTTACCCAATGAAATTTTCTATACTTTCTTTTTCATAGCTTGTGATTGTGGAGATGGAAAATGTGAACTTAATTCAGATGGTACTCCAAAACCTTGTGTCTGTAAGGGAATATTAAAACATTACAGAGGAAAGTGTAAAGGTCAGTGTATGCATAAAAAATGAAATGATTAAACCCCTTGCATTTTTAATTCTATCTCTGCTCATAAAGAATTTTTGATTCTTCTGCATATAAATTTTTTGAAACTAATTTAATTTTCTCTGAAATTTGAATTATTTTACATAATGAAATTTGCTATACTTTCCTTCTTTACAGCTTGTGATTGTGGAGATGGAAAATGTGAACTAAATTCAGATGGTACACCGAAACCTTGTAACTGTACTGGAATATTAAAAGATTACAGAGGGAAGTGTAAAGGTAAGTATATGCATAAAAAATGAAATGGTTGATTTAGGGAATCTTTAATATTTCAAATCTGTATCTGTTCATTAATTAGTTTTGATTCTTCGGTATATTATTTTTTATACTAATTTAACTTGCTCTATCATTTGAATTCCTTTAATAATTAAAATTTTTTATACTTTCTTTCCTTATAGCTTGTGATTGTGGAGATGGAAAATGTGAACTAAATTCAGATGGTACACCGAAACCTTGCAACTGTTCTGGAATATTAAAAAATTACAGAGGAAAGTGTAAAGGTAGGTATATGCATAAAAACATGAAATGGTTGATATAAGGAATCTTTAATATTTAAAATCTATCTCTGTTCCTAAATTAGCTTTGATTCTTCGGCATATTAATTTCTTAAAACTAATTTAACTTACTCTGATATTTGAATTATTTTACCAAATGAAATTTTCTATACTTACTTTCTTTATAGCTTGTGATTGTGGAGATGGAAAATGTGAACTAAATTCAGATGGTATACCGAAACCTTGTAACTGTACTGGAATATTAAAAGATTACAGAGGGAAGTGTAAAGGTAGGTATATGCATAAAAAATGAAATGGTTGATTTAAGAAATCTTTAATATTTCAAATCTGTCTCTGTTCATTAATTAGTTTTGATTCTTCGGTATATTAATTTTTTATACTAATTTAGCTTACTCTATCATTTGAATTCCTTTAATAATTAAAATTTTTTATACTTTCTTTCCTTATAGCTTGTGATTGTGGAGATGGAAAATGTGAACTAAATTCAGATGGTACACCGAAACCTTGCAACTGTGCTGGAATATTAAAAGATTACAGAGGAAAGTGTAAAGGTAGGTATATGCATAAAAACATGAAACGGTTGATATAAGGAATCTTTAATATTTAAAATCTATCTCTGTTCCTAAATTAGCTTTGATTCTTCGGCGTATTAATTTCCTTAAAACTAATTTAACTTACTCTGATATTTGAATTATTTTACCAGCTGAAATTTTCTATACTTACTTTCTTTATAGCTTGTGATTGTGGAGATGGAAAATGTGAACTGAATTCAGATGGTGCACCGAAACCTTGTGTCTGTACTGGAATATTAAAACATTTCAGAGGAAAGTGTAAAGGTAGGTATATGCATAAAAGCATGAAATGGTTGATTTAAGGAATCTTTAATATTTCAAATCTATCTCTGTTCATAAATTAGTTTTGATTCTTCGGCATATTAATTTTTTTATGCTAATTTAACTTACTCTATAATTTCAATTCCTTTAATAACTGAAATTTTTTATACTCTCTTTCTATATAGCTTGTGATTGCGGAGATGGAAAATGTGAACTAAATTCCGATGGTACACCGAAACCTTGTGTCTGTACTGGAATATTAAAAGATTACAGAGGAAAGTGCAAAGGTAGGTCTATGCATAAAAACATGAATTGGTTGATTTAAGAAATTATAATTTTTTTTGAATCTATGTCTGTTCTTAAAGCAGTTTTGATTCTTCTGCATGTTAATTTTTTGAAACTAATTTAATTTATTCTGACATTTGAATTATTTCCACGTTTATATCAACTTGCCTGCGTGTATGTCTGTTCGGGTGGAATTTTGTAATCGATTTCCCGACTAACTACCGACTTCAAATTTGGCACATAGTTCAGAATTGGATGACAATGCATGAAAATGAAGAGAAAAAAGACATACAAAGTAAAATAAAATTAAAATCAAGGAAAAATTAATATTTTCGCTATTGTCTTTTGTTTTCGATTCGATTATTTCAAATTAGTGTCACATGTCAGATGAAAAGTTTCAAAATCGAAATAAAAATGATATTTTTGAAAACCACGTTTTTGTAGTGGAGAATAATAATTAAAAACAAAAATTTGAAAAACGGAAAATGTGGGGCGCATGAAATACATAACAGTACATATACACATAGATATACACATTTTTTTACTCATACACATGCACAACCGCATACACATCCACATTCAGATACAATTACAGATATAAATATACACATATTCTCATGAGCGCACATACTGTTACTGTATTTCAAGCGCCCCACTTTTTTCGTTTTTCAAATTTTGTTTTTTTAATTATTATTCTCCACTACAAAAACGTGGCTTTTAAAAATATTATTCTCATTATTATTTTTTTTACTTAATGAAATTAGCTATACTTTATTTCTTTACAGCTTGTGATTGTGGAGATGGAAAATGTGAACTTGACACAGATGGTACTCCCAAACCTTGTGTCTGCACTGGAATATTAAAAAATTACAGAGGAAAGTGTAAAGGTACGTCTAAGCATAAAGACGGATACGGTTGATATAATGAACCTTTAAAGTTATAAATATTCCTCTTTATTAAATAAGGTTTTATTTTTCGTCACCTTTTTCAGTCTTAAATTAATAGAATGCTTAAATTCAGAGATTGTGGAAAGGTAATTAAAGTTATGTTTACATAACTTTGTATCTTCAAAGAATATAGTATATAGTCTGTTCAAACTGCTGAAAAAGTAAAATATTTTCCTCATTTGTCCGTTCAACTATCATTAGACACATATCTCAGTTTATCTGCTCATGAATTTCCCAACCTAAAGTGAAAAATTTAAAAAAATTTAAAGGGTAGAAAATTTAGATGTTTTTAAATCTAATTCTTTTTAAGAATTTTTTTTTAACATTTTAAGCAGTAGTCTTTATTTATTATATCTTAAACACTCTTTATGATCTATTCTATCTAAAGTATTATTCATGGTCTTTTCTATCTAAAACATTATTCCTCATCTATTATATCTAAAACAATATTGATGATCTGTATTATCTAAAACATTATTCCTGATACCAACGAGATAAATAAGCAAAGCCCAAATACCTAGCTCTTCCAACAAGATTTTTTTCAACAAATGGTAGAAGATGCATGATGCGTAGATTGATTGTCTTTTAACCCTTTGCTTACGGTGTATCATCTGTACCATCACATGTGGTCCATATGTTGTACCAGGCGTAAGCAAAAGGTTAAAGCACACGGAGCTGCTTACAAATTCCAAAAGGTGATGGTTTGTTAAAGATGAAATAAAATTAATGAATTATGTTAAGAGTTGACAAAGTGAAAAGTCAAAGAAAAATATCAATGATCAATTTAAAATCCAGGTGAATTTCCTTTGAAAGAAAAATTTTTCTTTCACGATATGAAATGAAAAAAATCACCTAAATAATAATATAGCTATGTTTGTATTATGTGCTAATTTATTGTATGTACTAAGTAAATTTATTTACAGAAACTATCATTTTCGTTAAATAGCAGTTGCCTCTTTTAGATTTTTACGTAAAAAGCAAAAGCTTTAAAGTATTTAATTTTTTTTCTTGTTGCGTAATAGTATATTGTTATATACTTTTAGAGTGCGACTGTGGAAAAAATGGTTTATGCGTTATTGAAGATGGAAGGAAAAAGTGCAACTGTTATGATAAGTACTCTGAAAAAGAAGGCTACTGCCAAGGTAAGGCATTTAAAAATTTTATGATACGCACAACAGTAAAATTTAATTTGTAATGTGCACTTTATAAATTTACAAAATCTTTGAAATTGAGTTGAAAAGGATTATTTTTTCAAGAAAAATATAAAAACATGGCATTGAGAGATTTGTATAATCTTTTTTGTTCAATTCTAATATATTTACGTATAAGTTGAAAACCATAATTAATATTTTAATTTTTAAAGTTTATTTTTACACTTCAAACTAAGTACAAGATTTAACTAAACAACAGAAATCCACACTTGTGTGACCGAAACTCGAACAAACGGCTGTATTTCCAACTGCAGTTAAATAAAAAAAAAAGATATATTTCTCCAGCTTTTTTGTACATTATACTTGTAAGTTTTATAATGACACAAGATTTTCATATTTAACACTACTTCGACGTTTATCTATATTTCAATAAGCTAACGATTCTAAGTAGTATTCGTATGCTACCGCCAGCTTAGGCATCACCTCTTACATCAGAAAGCATTCCCAGGGATTTTATAAATAGTCTGCGCAAACTGTTTAAAAAGTGAGCCAGTTTCGCACGCGAAGCGAACTTCTATCATAAAAGTACCCAAAATATTATCTTACTTATATATTCATATGTTTGATGAATTAATGTGTGGTGGTTAATTACAGGGGCTCATCCCTGATTCTTAGAAAATGAGTACACATACTAAGATCAGGAATATCAGGACTAAAAGCTAAAAATCAGGAGAAATAAGAACAAATTTTTATTATGAGAAATTTTTAGGACAATTGCGAACCCTGTAATTATATAAATCATTTCATAAATTAAATAATTTGATGGTTTGTCATTAGTGATTTTATAGAATGCCTTGGCAATATGTTAAAATTAAAACATTTCATATTTTTCCGATCTATTTTAGGCATTCTGTTTCTTGATTTCTGCATGCGGGATTTCACATTGAGGGTAACCATAGCTTTTATAATCTAGAAAAAATAATCACAGGGGAACAGTTTTTTTTCCTATTTTCTGTTGCATGAATTTTTTGACAGATTTTGGATACTCTCTCATCGCTGATTTTGAATCTGTGATGTGTTTCTAACAACAAGCTACAGTTTCATGCAATTTAATAACATACTCCGAATCAGGATTTTAAAATATTCACTAGCAAGAATACTAAGAGTCCGCACTTATCTGGTATGAAGGCGTGGTATGAAATAGGGGATAATGCATTTCATTTTATAACACGATGTGTTAGGTCACATTTTTTTTGTCTTATGTGTGATTTTCAAAAGTTTAAATAGAGCCCTGGTGGCTCAGAGGATAGAACGTTCGACTTCCAACGAAGTGTACTGGGTTCGATTCCTAGCGATGGCTGGTCTATACGAATTCCGCACCCGGCTTGCACCGACCACAGTCCTGACGCAAAATATGCTCAGTAGTAGACGGATCTTGGGACAGAGTCCCCTTGTCGTCTGGTTAACCATGGTAGGTTTTCTTAGTTTTCCTCTCCATGTGCCACAAATGGGGTTTGTTTTCATTAGAAAACAAATTTCTCTGCGAAAGCAAATTTCTCCCAGTGCTTGATACAGGAGTTCCTTTATCTTTTGGACTGAAAATTACAAGGCTACGCGGTTGAACGTTAGTAATTGTAAACCCAAAATGCCGGTTATAAAGTAAATAAAAGAAAATTGTACATTGAGGCGAAAAATAAATTAGACTAAAACTAAAAATACCATTTAAAAAAAAGCTGTTGCATTTGGAACTAAGCTAGTTTCAGATTTGAAATACCTATACCGGAATTAGATAAGATCAAGTACTTGCATAAATGAAATAAATTTTTTTTTCTTCAGTGTTGTTTATCGAAATAAAATCGTAAAATAACACTGAGGTCTCCTGTAAATTATGATTAAATAATCCATCACGTGTGCCATCATTCATCTATTGTAAATCGCGATTAAAAGAAAGAAAATAGAAAAAAAATGACCATAATATTTTTACAAATTTGTTTTAAAATTTGACATACTTAGAAAACTATACTAATTTATTTTACATGTTATTTTGTAGCCTGTGATTGTGGTAAAGGAGCTACGAACTGCAGCTTTGTAAGAGGAGAAAAAACCTGTAATTGTTCGTATGGATATGAGTTTGATATAGATACCGGAAAATGCAAAGGTAAAACTTAAGTTTTTTTCCCGGAGCTTCGAGTAAATGCAGAATGAGAAATATATTTCATAAATCTTTTTGAAAATTAATAATCTAAATGTCTAATTAAAAGCAAGATTTATGTGAAGCTCCATTGAATTTGTAAGAGTACCTTTTAAGACATTACATTTCCATGTTATAACTTTTAGTAAAATAAATTTGAGTAGGATAACGAAAAATTAAGCTTAATATTCTCATGTAATGTAAATACATGGTATTCCATTACTCTGCCTTAAAATATAGTATTTTGAATTGAATTACTCAACTAATAGTTTTAATCTTTAATTGCGAAGTTTTTTGGTTCAGGTCAAAATTACAATCTGTGGATGAATGAAAGAATGTATGAATGGGTCCATCTTATAAACCGGTTGTGACGTGCGTGTGTAGCTGAAGTCTTATTCTCGGCCACAGATGGCACCACTGAAAATCAAGAAACTTAACCTATGCCCTATATACGTTTGGTTTCACCAAACAGGCTTTCTGGTTTGGCAACTAGCATTAGAAACAACAACAACAATATTTATTAAATTGTGTGTCATTTCTTTTCTGTAGCAAAAGACGCCTGTGATCCCAATCCGTGTGTGAATGGATATTGTTCCAAAACAGATAATGATTTTCTATGTGTGTGTGTTTCGCCCTTTACTGGTAGATTCTGCGAAATAAGTAAGTATTTTTTTAGTTTATGAATATAAATAATATAATGTGCATTAAGTGAAGTGATTAAGCGGAAAAATAAGCTTAACGATTTGAGTAACTTTTGATATACGAATTATAAATTGAACTAAGAATATTCAAATTGATAAGATATTTCAGAAATTGCAAAGTTATAACGAAAGCAGCAACCTAAGAATTGGCTCATTAACATGTACAAGTATGTACTATGAAATGAATAAAAGGAGAAATACGCTTATAAATTTGAATGGCTTCTGGTCATAAACTGAAAATTATGAATATTCAAGTACAAATTTTTTTTATTTGATAAAATATTTCATAACTTGCATACTTATAAGAGAAAACAGCAGGTTGAGAATTGCGCGTATGCAGTAAGGAATACGTGGTCTTGAAATGTTTTGTTTTCCTGTCCATTTAAAATTTTGAAATAGCCGTTACAAACATCAAAGGTGTTTTTGAGGTTTAATTGAGGCTGTTTTGCAGTTGGCAACAAAAACAACCTAAAGAAATCAAGGTATTATTATGTTTCATACATTGCATGTTATATTTTAATTATTTATAAAAAATAGAGTGCTGCTGCACGAATATTTGAACTTTAATGAATGATTTATCATAAGAAATTGTTTGTTTTTTAATATTTTCATAAGCTTTGAGCTTAATTATGTATGTTACTGTAAGAGACCGAAGTCAGGCAAATACTTGGTTTTACCGGTCAAATTATAAATTTACCAAAAGGCTTGGTAAAAAGTATGCTTTAATATGATTCCATTTTGGACTTTTACCAAAAGCTTCCTCTGTAAAACTTAGGAGATACCTTCTGGTATGAGTTTGGTAAAAGACCGAAACGGAGTCATCTCAATGCATACTTCTGATTTTTACCAAGCCACTGTTTTAGATCCTATGCGTCTCAGTAATACCTAGGAATTACCAGACATCAGACAACAGTAGCATATATGCACTATATTAATAAATGTCTTTTTTATAGGCACTTGCATAGAAACTGAATGTTACGGGGGAAGATGTGAGATTCATGGAGACTTGGAATATTGCTTTTGTCCAGACGGTTTCGAATTGCAGAACGGAACTTGCACAAGTAATTTATGTACTTCTTCCTACATGCAATGTCTGTTTATTAATGCCAATTGTAAAGCACTCTCTTAATAGTTGGTTTACCAGCATTAGGGGCTGTGGAGGTTCCACGAGGCAATGTGGTAAAAGTTGTGAAATGGCTGCTTTTACTTCTCAGATAAGCTGGTGCCCATAGATCAGAAGGGTGGATTTTATGTTACTACCGGTGATAGTACCCGGTTCTATCACCGGTTCTCACAATGATAGCATTGGGCCATATAGGTTCTCAGTTTGTTCAGAGTATTAATGTATTATAATTTTAAGAAATTATACCTTTACTTAAGTGTTCTCAATTCTTTGACTATCTGAAAAACTGAAATTCTTTAATTCTCTAGTTTTTTCTTACATAATTCTCTAATCCTCTTTAATTCTCTAATTTTTCTAAAACTGAAATTCTCTAATTTTTTCATACATAATTTATGACGCTGTATTGAAGGAGGCTAAAGCAGCGTCGATTGGACAAATCGCTTAAAATTTACAGTTTCATTCTGAATCAAGTACAACTTGAGACTAACACTTAATTATTGCGCTGAAAGGATAGCTCTGAAAGTATCAAAACTCAAACATTGAAAGCAAACTAATCTATCTTGCAGGAAACCGATCTAATCTGAGGCAAACTATTCAGTTACCTTCTCATAGTAAATAGTGAAAAGTTACTAGACTTCGTCCATCGTGATTAGGCGGGAAGAGAATAAAACATGGAAAAGCTTCCTGCCTGTTTAACTAAAGAATTCCTCTCTCCAGCTGTCTGGAGCACTGTCGGTGACTACGAGAAAAAACTATTTCAAATACAGGTCTTGGGTAAATATTCAGGGCAGGTTTACGAAAAGGTTTTATATTCTGAAGATTAAGCATTAAAAGTAAAAAGTGAGTGTGCTTGAAGTGATATATCGGAGGAAAGCAACAACAGCCTAAAATTTTGCTTCACTTTATTATGTAGCTGCCTATCACATGCATTCATTTACATAGGGGATTGCAGTTATTCAATTTCATTACAATGCATCAATCTCTGTAAAAAATGTGTAGTTTTTGACACTGAAAATGAAAGTTCATTATTTGGACAAGCTCAGAGTCCAAGCCTTTTCATGATTTATTGAAGCTTTTAGCAGATATAGCCATTCAAATTTTTAAAAAAGGCAAAATCCACATTTTTCATATTTAGTTTTATTTCAAAACAGTATCGGCACTCAAAAACTCTGAATGTAAACTCTGAAAAATACTACAATTTTAACTGAAAAGGTATATAAAATACTATATATTTGTAAGCTCCATTTACAGTTGTAATTTGGAAGTCTAAATAATATTAAATGGATAAAATACTATAAAATGGGTAATAATACTATTAAAATGATAAAATAAAAGGATATATTACTAAGAATAAAATAATTTTAACCCTTTCTAAAACCGTGGTAAGTATACTTACCACCAATTTTTAAAATCGATGGGGAACTTTTTTACCAGTTTTGATTTAGGTTTCCATTTGTTAATAACTTCAGCTTTCTTGAAGAGCGTTTGAATAAAATTGGTCACCATTTGTTAAAGATAACGTATAAAAGTTATAAAATACATAATTCCTTTTGAAGTTCGCAGCATTTCTAAAATATATTTTATAAATAACGAAAAATAAGAGTCAGTAAGTTCCTAATAGGTCGTGGTAAATATACTTACCACCAAAAAAATGTCATTAAAATTTGGATTAATTTATTATAAGCTAAATGAGTTTTCTTCTTATATCAATTACTATTCTTATATCAATTTCAATTCCAAAAATATTTAAATTTACTTTTGCTAGAAATAAATGGCCCATTAAAGGGTTAAAATAGAAAAACAACTATCTTTTCCCTTTTGTGCACTTATACTTCAAGTAAACGCGTAGTAACAAAGATTTAAATCAGCAACTTCGTCCAGTAAGAATTGTGTGTATCATAAATAATTTATAACAAATTGTAGAAAATCCAACTTAAATGAAATTCACTAGAAATGTAAAACTAATTGCTGTTAAATATTTAACAACCACTATTCTTCAAACAACACATGTTCACTAAAAGAAACTATAAAGCAATTTTTTACAGTAGGAAATCACTAAAAAATAAATGAGCAGTAAGTTATTTTACATAAAAAGAAAATTTGAAATTATGCTCAACAGTATGTTCTATCAAAATCCTTTACAGCAGAAAGAGAGCAGTCAACAACTACGCTTTTTGCAAAATATTTATAAAGTGGTATATAATTAAAAACTAAAGTTGTCAGAAGTTTTGGCAATTAACTCAAATAGGTTTCACCACGAGAGAGCTGGAACAAAAGGGCGCTTTTTATGAACATTTGAATCATTCACAAGTAGTATAATGGAAAATAACTTTAAATTTACAAAACATATAATCATATATTAAAACATAAACCACTCGTAAGAATTTCCTTAAAAAGCGTAGAAAGTTAGCAGCCTTAGGTATATGATCTTGAAGTATTGATGGCATTAGGATATGCAAACTTGTGCCAGTTTTTGTAATACAAAGTTTATGTAATCCTAAGGCTTAAAATGCTGTAGGAGCGCATCACTGCTACTGTGCATGCTATTGACCATACTACCGAAAGATAGATATCAGATAGATATGGATATTGGAATATACTTTTGAAAGTATGGGCACAGCTGGTTTAGCATTGGAATAACAATATTGCTCACATTAAATATTTGTAAACATGTACTTCGAACTTAGAGAGTGCATGCAACATTTCATGTCTCACTCGTCTTTGGCGGTCCTAAGAACAGATTTTTGGAACTAGTTGACTTACGTGTCTTAAACCGTATTTTAATACTTTAAGAATAAAAATGTTAGGAAGAAAATGAGTGCAGCATAATTTTATTTCAGAAACTGCATGCACAATCAAGAAATGTTGGTATGGAAAGTGTATTCTCAATGGTGAAGAAGAAAAATGCATCTGCCCTGATAATCACATATTAGTAGCTGATTTTTGTCGAAGAAGTGAGTACATTTGTTTGAATAAAAATTTAAATTTGCCATATTTTCAATTGATAATCCTCATTCTTTTTTCTTGGGTCAAAGAGTTTAATAAACATAAAAAACTATTTAGCTGAAGAGTTAACTCAAGATTTAACTCAAGAGTTTAATAAACATTAAAAATTATTTTCCTTAACTAAGGCGGTTATATTGCCAGCATTGGAATCGCTTGTCTGAAATAAAACTAAACTGATTTAAAAACAAACAAACAAAAGAACAGTTATTTGTTTTAGACCTTTACTCTTCAAGAATAATTTAATTTAATATTTCTAAAATTAAAGATTAAAACTTTCTTTTAAAAATTGAAAATTATGTTCAAAATTTGTTTTTAGTGTTAGCAAAAAATCTGTAAGAAACCGAGAGCCATTACAAGTGATTAAAATAATAATAATAATAATAAAAGGAATGTCACTGAGAGTTAGCGTCATGCAGACTCAGAAAACTCACTTTTTATGCTTACGACTAATTAATAATAATCAATCGTCCTTACAACTAATTACTGTTATGATTTGTCTTCTAACAGAATTAGGCATACCCTTCCTTAAATTCATTGTCAAGACATGTGGAATAAAAATAATAAAAGTAATAATGAAAAAAGTTAAACTGATAAATGTAAATTTGTAAAAAAAATGTAAGAAAAAAATATTTTTTGTAAAGGTTGTCTTCAGATGTTTTCAGAAACGTATAGTTAGGTTTGGTTCAGGCTATCCATGTTTGATTCCTGTTTTTTCTGGAATGGTCTTTCGTATACAACAGTGCGGCCTCTGCGAAGCTGGCATTTCGAATGTCTATTGGTTATCTCATCGTAAGTTAGTTTTCTACGGTCATTGAAATCATTCTTAATTGATCGACTAATTCATGATAGATCTGATTAATTGATTTAATATCAATCTTGTTTAGTCGATTAGAGATTTAGTCGATCTTGTAAGTCAATTTATCAATCGATTAATAGTCACTGAGTTCCAGTTTATCAATACTGTAATTTGTATTTCTTCGCATCATTATTTTATTTTTTCTTGTACTATTAAGATATTATTGAATATTTTAAACATTCTCCTTTTCAGCTAAGTGTTCAGATGATAGTTGCATTGGTGGAAATTGTACGATTTCTAGTGAAAATGAAGAGTACTGTAAATGTCCTCCTGGTTATTCTGTGAAAGGCAAAATTTGCAAAAGTAAGATATCAATAATTTTTTTTTATCGAAACTCATGCATAGTTTGCGCATACTTAAACATTACTTGATATCATGAGCAAGATACAAAATATCATGAGCGTTTCCAGCTCAACTGTTTTAAAGTATTGCCACTAAATTTAAAGCAGTCAGTTGCTATAGAAACAATAAATAGAGCATTTCAAAGAGAGGAGTTTATCTCTCCCTTGATTTCTTTTCTCTGGAAAACCCGAGTCAAAACCTGTCTTAAAAATTCACCAACATACTTCAAATAGTGAAGCCTCATAACCATAGTCACAGCTACTGCTGCAAACGAATGGCGAGGGGAGTTTTTTTCTCCATAGATAGACTATAAGCTTATGCATTCAACGCTTGCAAATTAAAAAAAAACGTTTAGATTTAATGCTTCTAGAAGCCTCAGAGCCTTTTTTGGTACGTTGCTGATGCCGTACTGGAGCTACACGAATGGGCTATTACCGACACTCCGGGATTCATCTTTAATGATGATCCAATAACACTGCTGCTACAAGCTGTTACACTGCTGTTCCCACAACATTAGTACAATTTAGATAGATCAGTAGAAGTTGGTAGTAAATCCTCTTACCTCCGGAACATTTTCCATATCCAAGATGGACTTCTTCCGAATTAGAATTCACTTGACACATTATGCGAGAGGGAGTTCCAAACCCCTAAGACATGATTGGTGAGAGAGCATTTCGATTAGACCTCAAGATTTCAGCTTGATAAATTGAACCGGAATTAAGCCATGATTGGCAAAGACTATGCTCAGCTAGCCTCTGTAGCAGCCAACTCCTTATCTTAGACGTACAAGCTTCATCAATCATCAGCCCAACTCGGTTTTGCTATAGTATAATTGGTATTGTAAGTAAGAAAACAGGATGGTAATAATGGGTGTTTCAAATGACATTTTGTTCTATTATACAAGAACACGTATCCATAGTTATAGCATATGTCAATTAATTAAAAAAAATCAATTAATTACAATAAAAAATCGGTATGAATGAATTACTCATTTAATACTTTTTTTTCTTCATAATTTTCTTCATACAAAATGGGTATGAATGAATTACTCATTTACTACTTTTCTTCATAATTACATGCATATCCAAGCATTTATGCTAGAGATGAATCAGTGTGAGAATTTCGGTGTCACAAAACTACAGTTAATTACAGCCAGTTGTTGATCTTTCGAGAATTATTTTTTCTGCACCCGAGTTTCTCAAGAACAATGCCTCAGGGAAAAGAAAAGTATTAAAATATCGAATAAATGTAATTATATCCACGAATAAATTAATATAAAATCGGATGTAATAAATATTTCGGACATTCACCAAAGCGACTATGTGATTGTCAACATTCACCGGGGAAAGTCAACAACCACCGATTTCGGTCATTCACAGTAACATGCACATCATTTACATAATAATCTCATCAGGACGTTTATTTCATACTTTGCCGGTTTCTCATTTGGCATTCTATAGAATGCCTAGGCAATGTGTGAAATATAAATCATTTAATACTTTGCCGGCCAGTTTTAGGCATTGCATAGAATACCTAGGCATTCTTTATAATGCCGGATTTCATACTTTGCCGGTAACATATACATAAAATGAAAATAAAATATATGATGTATTAATACTTTTTATTTAATAAAAAACTGGTCTACTTATTTGTATTTTTTTCTGCAGTTTAGCAATATTCCTGAAATGAGTAATCAATTATCCCATAATTTGATAACAAACCAGCATAATTGTGCCGAATAAATTGAATGGACTACCGTAAAAATAAAAATGACACGGTGAAATAATTTGTGAAAATGCATTGTGATTTCTTTTCTTCAAAATTATGTTTTTCATACACTCAGATTTGATAACTTCTTCAACTTTCAATCGATTTTCAATTAAATTATAAAGCCTCCTGTTCCTTTTTTGATGGAATTTTTTATTGTGTTTAGAATTTTATTAATAATAGATATTCAGGCACCTGATCATAACAAATATGATATTAATTTAATTTGTTGCAGAAACCAAATGCGTTCCTGCCCTCTGTTATGGAGGACGGTGTGAAGAACAAGAAGACGGAGAACTTGTGTGCGTTTGTCCTAAAGGATATCATCTTGAAGACATAGGATGCAAAGGTATTACCATTGTATATTATCTGCACTAATATCTTTTTGAAAATTATATAGCATGTTTAACTAAAAAATTTAGGTTTATGACTGAGCAATATGAAATTAAACACAAAGCTTTAAGATCATTTTCAGAAATTTCAAAGCACGTAGAATCGTATGATTGAGCAAATTTACTACAATTTTACTGAACCAGATTATTAGTCGAGTGTATTTTTCTTGAATCTGATTACACTGTAAAGAAATTCAACTATAAAGAAAACGTGGTTTATTTTGAGATTTTTGTAAGTTTGCACGAAAATATGGTTCTAGGTACAGCTATTATAGTACCACATGGAACCGATTTCTTTTGAAAATGAAGTATTACAGTTAAAGCTCGATGTAAGAGAAGAAGGAGAAAAATGAACCTCCTTTTCTAGATAAACCAAGCAAATCGGCTTTTGCTCATTTAAATCATATTGATCATGTATATCTAGGAGAAAAGCATCCTCTTTATATTTTAAAATGAAGCCATGTTGTATTTCAACTTAATTTATGCCTTTATATGTTCATGTATTTTAATAGTATTTCAATGAAGAAGTAATTCATGACTTGGCCTAATGGTATTAAATAACAAAATAGTTGAATTCTGCTTAGCTTAAATTTGTTGAGAATTCAAGAAATAGACTAAAGTACTTTGTACCAGATGCTACGGTCGGTCAGTTGCTTAAGGCGTCGCTCACACAGCTGGCAGAGAGATGGGTGTCATTGGTTCGATCCTAGACATCGACATAACAATCGGAGTGTGCAGTAAGGTTTCTAGTTAAATATATTGTGACTGAGAGTTCTTTCACTGGATGTGGTGTGGAAGTTTGGAGAGAGGTGTACCAGCTCAAGAGCTGCCCACGTTAACTGACGTTGGTTGAAATTATTTGGCATTTCTACCATGGCTGTCTGAAGATGGAGCCCTATAAAACGGAGATAGGTGCTTGGCCAGGATTAGATGGTGCATGCCTAAGTCGGACTAGTGTTGATGATTGCACTACCAAGTGTAGAAATTTTGCATTCGTAGTTGATAATGTAACAAATAGTCTCAGCTTTGTAGACGACTATTCCAGGTTTTCCAAAGTGTACGCTAGAGTATTATTTTTTTATTTCGAAACATCTAGTTTTTTCTAGCAATTAGATGGGAAATTAAAATCGTATTGTACTTATATTAGGAAACATATCTTAAGTAGAAGCACTAAAGTGCCCTTCTCTTCCAGGTAAATTACCAATATTTTAGAAAAAATATTTAATTTTTATTTATTCTAAGAAAGCGTATACTTGTATTATTTGAGACAAGCTTTAGTGTATTCTCTTGGACTGATGGAAGGTATAATAATGTTTTGAAATATTCCAATAAAATATTATTTGGTATGCAGGTTTCAGCAAAAATAAATCTTAATTGCATGAATATAGAAATACACCTAATAAGCAAGTTTAGAGGGAAATAGTCAGAATGCTTCTTCAAGCACGAACATCCTTATCGATTCAAGATACATCATATGGTAGTCCTAAGTACAACATCATACTGCACCTTACAAAGCAATTTTTTCTGTATTTTATGACAGAATTTGCACACAAAGAAGCCATATTTTAATCCACAAGCGCATCATTTATTTCTAGTAAAAGTCATAATTGCTACTTTCTGCATGAAAAGAATAAAAAACGCTAAAAATGGTTCAAGATACGACGTAATTCCCGACTGAATGTAATAAAACGGATTTTCTCTTTATTAAAAATTTGGGTCTATTTCTTATAAAAAATGCATGTTTTATATTTTTAGAGACAATATGTTTAAAAAAGAATTGCTATGGAGGTAAATGTCAAGTGATTGATGGGGAAGAAATCTGCAATTGCAGAGAGGGATATTACGAAAAGGAAGACGTTTGTCAAAGTAAGTAACAGATTGATTTCTATTTCACATTAAATATTATTTCAAAATAAATATAACAAGACAGCAAGACTGGATTTTTCTGGTAAAAACATGCAAATAAACAAACGCATGCATTACAGCATTAAAATACATTTTAGAAAAAAAAATGTAACCATCAGATTTTTAACATATACTGAGGTTTGCAGAAGCAGCCCTTCCCTTATCCAGCTCCTTTGCTTTTTCCAGATTCTCCCTTTCCAGACATCCCTTTTGTTTTTTTTCCAGGTAAAAAAATGTGATTAAAGAAACTCATGCACTACAGCATTTTAGTACTTCTTGGAAAAAAGTACATTTCAGAAAATAAAATGTAACTAACAGATTTGTAATATTTACTGTGATTTGCAGAAACATCCTTTCCCTTTGTTTTTTCCTCTCCAGATTTAAGAGAAGGAGTACTCTTTGACAAATATTTTTTTTAAAAATCCATATTACAACTTTTTCCTCAAATTTTAATTTAGGAAATTAAAGTCCCACCTGGATTGTGAAGGAAATCTAATGACACTTTGAGAACAGAAATCATACCATAAAAGCAATAAAAGTAACAAAATACTTGTACTTGTAAATACTTGTATTTTTTGTTTCTAAATATCAATTAGAAATGTAAAAATGCGAACTGCATTGATTATAAATTAAACCTGTTTAGTTGTCATTCGTAACAGTTTGTATTTGCAACTGCATATTTTATATTTAGATATGTCAGAATCAGAGGAAATTTCAGTCCATACAAATTTAACTTCTTCAGCTGTCAAGCCTTTTCATCTTCTGTACATATCTGATAATTATGATAAAATAATGAGATTACACAGCTTACGAAAAAATGTATTACCATAACATATTACCTTATATTTTCTAAAAAAGGTAACAAAACCACATAAAATTTATCAGTGATCTTCACAATTCAGCTTAGAAAATATTGATTGCTTGAATATCTTGCTCGGACTTGAATTTCCGAAGAAGAGATCAACACTAAATATCATTCTAAACAAAGTAAAATTTTTAATACTTTGCTTTATAACTAGTTGAGATTATGAATAAATCGATAAAAAATATCAAAATCTTACTAGCAAAATAGATGAAGATAGAAAGTTGAATATTGCAGAACAAAGAGTTGTTATAAGCTAGCGTCCTCGATGATTCAAAATGTTTCAATAGACGTTGAAAACTTCAAATAATCGTGTGCTTTCAACTTTATTATTATTATTAGAAAAACAAATTACAGGGGAGACATATTTTGTTCCGTTGTAATGCAGTACAGAAATATTCTCAGTGAAACTTATATGTCTAGTCGGTACACAACGACTTTAACATTTTAATATTAAAAAAAATTAGTATTTTAAAATTAATATTTGGTAAATTGATTCTCAATTAATTAAAGAGTTAGATAATCTGTTTCATTAAAATAAAAAACATTTAATTTAGTGGTTATATTCTTATTTATTCCATTTTCAGAAATACTTTGTCAAAAACCATGTTATGGAGGTCAATGCATAATTGTTGAAGGAAAGGAAGAATGCTCCTGCCCTGTAGGATATAAATTTGATGGAGAATCTTGCATAAGTAAAAATACACATTTGTTGATTTACAATTAAAAAAGGAAATTTCATAAACTAGCTCATAAATAGTGTTGTTCTGAATTCAATTTTCATGATGTATTTTTAGAGTTTTTAGAAGGATGAAAAACCTTTTTCAAGGCATATTTCTCTCTTATATTGCCGATTAAAAATACTTACAATCGTAGTTAGTTATATTTATTGTTTTTAAATAATTAAGTCTGCAAAAAAATGCACTTAACACTTGAAGAATTCAGTGGATGAAGCAAGTAAGTGACAGTTTTGAAGGTATTTATTAATCAGAGCAATTACATTAAGTTTACACGTCAATATGGGTATGCTTAATATAGAATAATTGTTTCTGATTTCACATTTATTTTAACACTCCTAATCCTTATTAGTTTTGAGTAAGCATAGTTTTTAATTTGAAATTAATCAGGAAATAAAATAAGGGAAACAATCATTAGCCCTGCCTGCAGGTTAAAGAATTATTACCTTGAATGCTAAAGAATTATTAGCTGTTCATCAGGAGCTGATGGCATCAATGCCAAGCTCCTGAACATAAAGAAGCCTAAATCTCTCAAGGAAATACACACTGTTATAGTTTGTGTTTGTACAGAAGAAAAAATACCCATTAAGTGGAAAGATGGTTCTATCTGTACAATATACAAGAAAGGAGACAGGCTTAAACTGTCAGAACTATGGAGGAATTACTCTCTTGAGCACATTATACAAGATATTGACAATCATCCTAATTGAACGACTTGTTACTTGTACTAGCTGAGTAATTGGCGAACACCAGTGTGTATTTCAAAAAGGCAGATCAACAACAGATTAAATACACAGTATTAGACAAATACTTGAGAAGACCAGAGAATATAACATGAATGCCTTTCATCTTTCTATTATCTTTAGAACAGCTTAGGATAGAGAAAAATTGTATCAGGCAATGTCAGAGTTGGGAATACCCCAGAAATTGGTTAACCTCATAAGAATGATACTTAACAGAGTAAAATGTAACGTAAAATTGAGATCAGAAGCCTTCTATACTGAAAAGGGGCTGAAACAAGGAGACTCCCTGTCATGTCATCTGTTTTATTTAGCACTAGAGAAGGTTATTATAGATTCTGGTATACAAAATCAGAAAACAACTTTTGTTAAATCCGTGCATTTGCAGACGATATCGATATCATGGGAAGAATTAAAGAAGATGGAGTAGAGGCTTTCTGTGCACTCAAAGGCAGCAGAACAAAACTGGATTGTTTGTCAACAATGAAAAAACTAAACAGAATCACAAATCTGCAACCACTGAAAATTGATGAACAAGTAGCTCAGTTCAAATACTTAGGCGCAATAGTAAATAATAATAATAATCCCCTTTAATAATCCAATATCACTGCTAAAATTTTGCTATTTAATAGTTTGGCGACTAACTCGGCAAGCTTGCAAAATTATTAAATTACGATGAGACAGATATTTCTGCGCTTATTTAAATTCAACCTTCACCTATAATTTATATATTCATTTATATTCGAGACATAAACTTAGGATGAAACAAAGGTATTTTAGTTAAATAAATGTTATGATTTAAGGGCACATGAACAATATGCTTACAACAAGATAGAGTCAGCGTAGTAAATGTGCCCGGCTACCCTTAAACTTGTCCTAATATTTATGGGACACCTTGTATGCCTTTCATTTTGGAATGTTTTATAATTGATATATGCAATAATTACTATCCAATCTCTATCGCAGGAAGATCTTTTGAAGACAATGGATGCTTAACTCATTTAAAAATATATTCAAGAAGTTATTAGTCTTAAAAATGGGTTTTACATTGCAAAAAATACATATTTTTTAACGCAAAGGAATAAGCAAAAATTATTTCGTTTTTTATTTTATCAATTGCTTTTAATAAGGTCGTTCATAATATTTCATAACTTTAAATACTAAGAAAAATAAAATAATTGCGAATATCTGTTAAGTAAAGGCGTTAAAAGAGTAACTGCGATTGTCTCTTTTTTTTGATACACTGAATTTGGCGAATCGCTAAATAAAACTTTTTTTTTCACGTATGAAGTGAATGCTTTTATCCCTGATATGTAACAAATTTCCAGCATTTTCGTAAGAGTGCTATGCCCTATCTTGTACAATATTTATTCTGAAGATTTTCCTTAAACCATTCAATGATAAAACAATTAGTTTCAACTTCAGTGATAAAACAAAAGTGACTAACCTAAAATTTAGCTATGAAGATAGTTTTTTTTTTATAGTCACGAAAAACTCCGTTTTATATAGTCATAAAAATATTATAATATAAAACATTCAAATATAAAATATTCAAAGATAAAATATTCATATATAAAATATTTAAGTATAAAATATTAAAATATAAAATTAATTATAAATTTATATTTTCAGAAGCATGAAGGTTTCCTTTGAACACCAGTTGGAGGTAAAAAATAGACAAAATATGTGATAATTGCTACTGAAAATAGAAAAAAGAGAACAATATATTATTCCATACATACATAAAGCGAATAAGAAGAAAATATTATTTGCCCAACAACTTGACATTTTACAATAATTTGATGTCTTAAAAATACTTACATGAATATACCGCTGGCAGTACGTCGAAAACAAAAATATATCAATTGTCAAAGTAGTGCATTTTTAAGTTTTTGTCTTGAAGCTAATGGCAAATTTTAATGTAAAGTTTTTGTTCTTTGAAAATTTATCTGAAATTTTGTTAAGTTTTGAATGATTTAAGTGATGTAGCGAATTTATTGTTATATTTGTTTTACACATTTGTATGACGTTTCAATAAACTTTTTTGTCTTTCTTTGTAGCCTATTTTTATTTTTAACAATATTTTTAAAGATTGCTGACACTTTGATTATTTTTTGATTATTGATTGCTTTGATTATTTTTTAAAATTATTTGCTTTGATTGATTGCTGTGGTTATTTTTTAAATTGTTATATAAAACCAAGTGTAAAATTACATTATTTTGTGTTGCACTACCTTCCCAATTACTCTACTTGACCTTCGTGTGGCCACGGTCGACATAAGAACTAAAACCTGGTAGCAACATTTTTTTTATTTTATAACCGTCGTTGAACAGCCGACCCAATTTCATGGGTTTACGACTACTTACATTGAACTCCGTAGCCTTGTAATTTTGAACCAATCCAGAAGACAAGGAAACTCCTGGATCAGTACCCCCAGAGGTATTGATTTGTTGTGGGAACATGGAGGACTTTGAGACTCGACAGATTTAACGTGCATCAGTCACCTTTTACTACACGGAGAATCTTCGGCCGGCGAGGATCGAACCCACAACCTCTTGGATATGGGCCCAGGGCCCTACCGACCAGGCTATCCCGGCCCTGGTAGCAACATTGCGAAGAGTATCGATCTTCTAGGTAGAGCAATGATTCTCAATATCTGTTTGTTCTGATTTATGATCTACTATTTAACGGGTTAACGCCCAGCGTCATAAATTTAGGACAGTTCCTTTTTTCAAAGACATTCATTGTGGCGGGAAAATTTTTTCAGTATTTTCATTTATCTGGGTGAATTAAAAGATTCTCAGATACTATGATGGTTTAGTTACTTCTGATTAGATATAGAATTATAAGGAGCAAGTACTTTTTGATCAATCAAAGACTTCTTGAATGTTCTAATAGTAGAAAAACGAATTAATTTCGATAATATATTATACCACTTTTTCCATAATACCACTTTTTGTATAATTTCAATATATAAACTCGGGACAAAACGGGTTAAAATCTTAAAATGTAGTATTGCATATGGAGTACTTTCCTGCTAACCAGAGAATACTATCAGGCACCACGTTTTCGCGAATACTGTAATTGGGAGGATAAGTTACTTGGAATTACGTGTTTGGGACTAGCTTTGCTTTGACGTAGGTTAGTGTAAACCAGTGTTTCCCAAATTTATGACTTTTCTGTACCCTTTCTAAAATTTTTGTAACGCTGTGTACCACTAATAAAATAATTAAAGTATTTTTTACCCTAAAAAAATTGCACAAAAGTTAAAAATCACAACTGGCTGTTGACAGCACTAATTAACTGTTAACTGTGTAAAAAATAGCCAGTAGAAAAATACGTAATAGTAAATTTTCATAGCTACCTTTAATTTTAAATAAATTTTCGTTTGTTGCAAGGCATATTGCATAAGAACGCGTACCCCACTAAACTGTTCCCCTACCCCTGGGGGTACACATACAACACTTTGGAAAACACTGGTGTAAACAATAAAAAAAATTTATTATTTAAAATTTTTCTTATCGAAACATCTTGTAGGCAAATTAAAAGAAATGAGGAAATCCTTCCAGGCGTACGTACAAACACCTAGACACGTATGTACGTACACATATATAGAGAAGCACACATCGTGAACAAAATAATAGCTCTCTATATTTAAATATCGTAAGGGCCACTGGCGGTTACGCTGTTTTGGGTATTCAACTTAATGTTACATTTTGTTTTGTTGAGCAAAATCTAAAAGACTTAGAAGCTTGAAATTACTATTGTGTGTAGAAAAGTATACTGAGTTTCAAATAAAATTAAAAAACATTATATTAATCATTTTGTTCGAGAATTATTAACTGTTAAACTTTCTCGAGAAAATAAGATACGGGTCGCTCTATAGGCGGTATGGCAACAACAGAGTTGAAATTTAGCATGCTGTAAGAGCTAAATTTGTTTATAAACGTTACACGAGTTTTTTTTGAAAAAAGTTTATATTGTTTGACAGTTTTTTCAATTTTAAGTGATGTTTTAGTGAATTTTTTCTCACTTTTTGTTTTTTTTATTTACTTTAAATTTTGCTTTGCTACTCTGAATCTATAAGACGTTAAAACTTTAAATTATGAAGGTGTGAAGAAAAACGATTTTAAAAATTAATAGGTTTTCCTTGCGTTTAATTGGTTTCCTTGGTTTATGTTAATTGGTTTCCTTGGAGTTCAAAAATCAATCGGTTTTCCTTACACTGTTGTTTTTCTTTAGGAATGAGCAATTTTTCGGTATTATGTCCGCTATTTATGAACCAGAGATTCACAAACATTTACTAGTTACAACACTCTTTAGGAATTTAAAATTGTCTCACGCAATACTTCAGCCATATACCATATATTTGCCAGTGGCTTAATTTTATTACACGTTGAAAATGTATGTTTCATAGGTAAAAGACAATGAAACTGAATTAGATAGTAAGTGGAGAAAATATTAACATAGTTAAACATCTCATACTTAAAATATTCTCTACTTAGGTAGTAATTAATAAAAAGGTATTAATTATAATAAAAGATAATCTTTTAAACACTAGTAATACTATAAAAATATAATTAAAGAAAAATTATTTGATGGTTTTATCAATTCAATAGGTATTTTTTGTGCGTCATATGCTTGAGCTTGACAAACCTTTAAAATCGTGAGCTGTAGCTTAATATACAAAATGTTGAGATATGCGATTAGTTCTAATTCCTTCATTATTAAATCTTGACATTTTCAAAAATAAATATGAAGACTGCTGAAAATTACACTGGTAAACCAAATTAATACTCATATTACGTTGATACAAGTACTTGATTTTACCTAATTCCGGTGTGTGGATTTCAAAATTCAAATTAGTTTTCCGAAAGCTACAGATTTGTTTTCAAAATGTATAGCTGCCAACTTGTACAGCAGCTGAGAAAATTTTTTCTTAGAGGTAGCAACATTATAGCTTTTTAACGTAGTAAATCTTCAATTTAAAATTTCAAAAAATTTTAATTCTATCACGACAAATCAATAATTAGAAAAATATGTTGACATTATCTATTTGTTATCTTATTTAGCCCTTGAATGTTTAAGTAGTTCATTAATTATTGTTCCTTTAATTATTGCTTTATTACTACTTTCTAAAGTCTTTTTCAGTGGTCCTACAAGTTTGCAGTTATGAAAATGATACTTTAAGATAAATTTACGTTAGTCTGGAGTCACAAGTTTATAAAGATAGTATAAGTTTCTATGCATGAATGTACACATTTGTTTGAAAAGAACACCCAAGACAAAAAAATAGATTTTAACTTATCGCATCATAAATTAAAAAGTATTATTGCCTTCTTCCTACAATTTCCTACGTTTCAGAGAAGAGCGGATGTTTAACACTCACTCGATATTAAAACAATACTAGGCCGGAATATATTATTAAGTTGCAAAAAAACTATAGTTTCTTGAGAGATCACATATTTGAAATCTACTACGTAAAAATTTATAAGATATGTAACACTATCAACACGACCAAAGCCCAGTAGTACGGACTCCAAGAGTCATGAAGCGTATATTAAGCGTACATTAATATGATGTTGATGTTGGTCTTCTTTTATGACAGCCTGCGTATCCAACTTCCAGTTCAGATGGGTGGCTACAGGAGTTATCTTCTAGAAATTCATCGAAGCTAACGTTAGTGCAAGCAGTAAGGTTGGTATAATTGGTTGGCAACTTATTATGTGTTCTAATTCGTCTCAAAAGTATTCTAATTTCCTCAAAAGTATTCTAATTTCCTCAAAAGTATTCTAATTTTTAAATGACATTAATTTATCATTTTTATTTTGGGGTCATGTCCCTTTTTTTTAAAACTAAATGCTGGTAAGAAAATCAGTGCCCACCATTATTATTATAATTTTTTTTTAGAAAAACAAGAACTTTTTGTTCTCTCTTATGCATTAATGATATGGCCAGAAATGTACCAGACCTGTTTATTTGCAGAGTGAGACTGCAGATTGTAAGCCTAACCCCTGTACATGCGATAACTAAAAGGTTAAAGGATTTCTGTGATATTTGTAATATAAAAGAGTGACCTGAAAATATGCTAAATAATTAATATATACTTAAATTACGAAATAATATATAAGAAATATATTTAAATTACGTATATTCGAAACATACTTAAATTACGTATGTACGAAATATACTTAAATTACGTATGTACGAAATATATTTAAATTACGCACGAAGAATATATTTAAATTACGAAATAATATGTATAAAAAAAACACATTTTCTTTCTGATTAAGAGCCCCTTTTTTTAACTGATTTGGATTTCTAACAACAAAATATAGAAAGTAGGACAGTGATCGAAAGTTTTAAGACCTTAATGTTATTTTTACTTTATGCGTATTTTGAAATGTCTCAAACATTTTCTACACAAATCAAAAACATTTTGAACACAATTATAAATTTCGTTTATGCGAAGATAATACCATGCAAAAAATAATTTCTTAAATTTATTTATTATGTTTTATTCTTTTACATAATGTTTCGTTAAAGAATTTTTGAATTTTAAGGTATACAAATATTTTTATTATTTTATAGAATGCAATTTCATATTTCAAACTATAAAATTTTAAGTGTAATTCGACAAATAGTTTTGTGAAATAGATGAAGTCGTACATCTAAGATTCGATTTCCCAGAAATATTTGATTCACATATTTCTCCTTAAATCAGCCGCTATTTCTTGAGCGCATATATTTGTGTGTTATTATATATTTTATTAGCATATTTGGGTACATTACTTTTCAAAATTTTAAATATAGTAAAAAATGTAAGTCGCAGAATTTATTAAAGTAAAATTTATAGTAAAGTAAATGAAATGTTAAGTAAAGTAAACAAATATATTTTTTTAATTTCAAAGAGAGAAAGGAATATTTGCTCAATTCAGAAGAAAAAGGAATATTTGATCAATCCAAAGAAAGACGGATATATTTATTCATTTCAAAAAAAATATTGATATATTTGTTCAACAAAATCCAAGAACTTAACTTTTTCACTGCAGCAAAAGATAAATTGTATTATAAAGAACCAAAATTTATTTTCTATAATAATTTCTTCTTACATAACTTCTCATCTTTCTGATCAGTATAAATATTTAGAAGCATCATAAACAGAATTACCTAAGAACTAGTTATTTTCATAATTAAATTAATTATCAACTAAATTAAACAATTTTAATAGTGATATCACGCTCCTTGAGATTAATGTAAAATGTAAGAGCTAAGCCTAATTTTGAGATGAGTTGTCGAATTCGGTGATCACCACTTCTAACCGTTTAAAAATGTCCCAAACCAGCAATGATCAGTGTTGGTAAAACAAGAGTAACATAAGTTAATAATATTTCTCCTAAGTTATAAATTAGTTGTCAGTTAAAAACTAAGTTATTTTTATAATTAAATAAGTTATCAATTAAATCAAAAATTTTAAATAATGTTTTCAGAGTGATATCTCGCTGATTGAGATTTATGTAAAGTGTAAGAACGAAGCCTAACCTTGGGATGAGTTGGCAAATTCGCTTGTCTCCACTTCAAACCGTTTAAGGTTGGTCCAGATGAGTGATGATCAGTGCTGGTAGAGCAAGAGCAACATAAACTAATAATATTAGTCATTAGTTCGGTATTTTATTGCAGGAACTGGCTCTTCTGATCTGAATGCGAATATTCCATGGATCGAAAGTAAACTTTTAAAATAACGTTAGTATCTTATTTAAAACCAAAGTATCCATGAAAGAAAATATTTGCAACGAAGGAAATTTTTAGAATGAAAATACGTTAGAGAATCGTTTTTAAAGAAAATGAGAATGCTGAGTAGAGTTCAGTGGCTCTGGATGGAAAAGTGGTTAAACTTATTTAAATTCAATAATTAAATAATAACTAAAAGACGCAACAGTTTGAAACAAATGATTCGTCTTTGCGCAATCTATTAATGACTATTTTAAATTAAATTTATTTAATAAAAAATTCAGTGCAGAAAAAATGCATTTTGCTACGACTAGAAAATACTATCTGCCTAAGTTAGAAAAGTTGGCAGCTACGGGAAAGATACTACAGTAGTGATTTGATCTTTCATCAATTGTTACGTAGGTAGATTGAAGTAGCTCCATTGGGATTGTTTTGTGTGTGTGTTTGTTTTGAGCACTGTAAGTCCCTTTCTTGGAAATACTTACAGATAAAAGACATCAAAGATTTTTTATCAGCTACATCCTTAAAGAAGCTGTTTTCTTAAATCACAATCAAAGTCTTTTCCAAGATGCGCGTTTTTACTTTTTTACTGATTTCTGTTGCTTATGTTGCAGATATATATTCATTCAGTATTGATTCTAAATTAAATGCAGGTAATTAAGTTTTAATTTTATTACTTAATTATATATATTTAATTTTAAAATTTTTAATTTTACAAAGTTCATAATTGATATTCGTCAATATATATTTACTCCAACATTTTATTGATATATATATTTACTCTGCACACTGATGTAAATATTTTTTCATAAAAATAGATTAAATTCATTTGGAAATCATGTATCGGGAGTTTCATGTAAAATTATGGGGATCTATAAAACGGAAAGTTTCTATAAAAATATAGAAAACCCTTTATTTACTAAGTTATCTAAGTAACTAAGTAAGTTCATTTACTAAGTAATTTTGCATTAAGGGTGATTAAACTCTGTTAATTACTTTTTCTCTCTTAAGCATTAAGCCTATTCTGCTAATGGAACTTCCAGGTATAATACATTAGAATGGGATATAAACCACTGAAATACTATTGGAGAAAAAATAAGACGATCAGAAAGTACGAAGAACTAAAGTTTCAATCCATCAAACCGATATTTTGGCTATTTGTTTATAAAATTATTCGTATTATTGAAGTCAGTATAAAGACTCAGGGAAAAACAGTTATTTTCCTTACTTCTTTGAATTCGTCTGTAATTTAACATATATTCCTGTTTTTCTTTTATCCGTTTTTTTCTTACAGAAACTTTTTACAACGTTTTGAAAATTTTTACAATATTTCTTTGCAAGGTTTTTAAAAACTTTGTACAAAAAGAAAGTTGCTTGTTTTTTGCTCTTGGTGGCTTTTTTTCTTTTTTCTTTTAAAGTGCTTCTTTGATAAGATGTACTAATCTAAAGATGAACTTATGACGAACTATTTTACTAACTTTTTAAAATAGAGTTTAAGTGGAGTTTTTAATGGAGTTTTGGTTAATTTTGCCAAATTGGAACAAGGGATATTTCTACATGAATTTTTGAAATATTTACATGTAATGGTGAAGAAATTACTTTAAATCCAATTTACCAAACAAATAATTATACATCAAAACAAAAATTTTCAACCATTTGAGTCAATTTTTGCACAAAACCTAAAAAAGTTGGCAGACCTGGGCATAACGGACATTTATGGATATCGTACCTCTATAATAAAATAATTCCTAGTATTATGTAAATTGTTGTTTAAAAGTAAATCTAACAAAGAGAATTTTCTCAACTTTTAAATTTTTATCAACTTCTTTATTCATAAAAGCATCCTTCATTGGTTTTTACTTTTAATTTTCAGTGTGTGACTGTGGAGATGGAAAATGTGAATTGGATGCAACTGATTCACCAAAGCCCTGTCTTTGTAATGCCAAAACGAAGGCATATAATAGTAAATGTCGAAGTAAGTTCAAAGTGATTTATATAAAAGTAACACTTCGGTAGGGAACAGTTTTCCACCTTGGACAAATAGTAATAATTCAAATAACTTAGAAAATTTGCAAAAAATGCATTATAATTTGGTCAACCATTATACTTTATTTTGCAGAAGAATACTTTAATCCACTTTTAAGAAAGAATTTGAAAGAAAAAAAACATTGCCCGAAATACATCGAAGAAAACAAAATATCACCCTGTTAATAATTTAATTTTTATTGTAATAGTAAAGATATAACCTAGCTTATAGTAAATAAATATGATGTTTAAAGAATTCAGATTTTGAAAAACTTGTAGACTTGAAGAACCATTTAGATTCGCACTTAGATCATGAAAATCCAATTATTAGAACAAAAGTTATTAAGGGTGATTTTTTTACTCAATTTAAAACATAGCGACTAAAAGAACCATTTAGAATCGCGTTTAGATCGTGAAAATCCAAATATTAGAATAAAAGTCAGTAAGGGTGAATTTTTTACACTCACGTAAAACATAATTTGAGAGACAGAAACTGTTACTACAGGTTTCAACTACACATACCGAATGCAGAATTTCCCCTCAAGGGGACGCAAATGTTTACACTGGTCTGAAACCCATGCGGTTCAAAATACAACACTCTACCCTAAATATCTCTCATCAGGATTTAACGATTTTAACAAAATTATATTTAGATTGATTAGTATTTTGTGAAACGCTTAAAGCTTTCATCGGTATTTAATTTTCTTTGGTACATAATAACATTTGATGTTTTATGTATAATATCATTTTTTGTACATTAATAAAACTTGAAAGCGTAATTTCATTCTTGATAAAAATTATAAACTACTCAGTTGAACTTATACAGCAGTAATTTATTCCAAAAAGATAATCGTATGCTTTTGCAAGCATGGGAAGAAGTGTTCGAGCAATATTCATGATGAGAAAAATTCATCCGAATTTCCAGTTTCATAGCATTTTCGAGGGTACGAAATTTTGCCACTTTACTTGATTTTAAAATATATATGAAATTTAAAAATATTCTTATCTTTTAAAAATTGAAGTTCTTGTGAAATTTTTCTTTCCAGTAATAGTGAACTGAAAAGGTAATTTTTTAAAAAAATTTAAATTTTCAATATCTGGTATTTAAACTAAAGATCATAAACATTCGTCTAAATCAGCTGTACACTTTTTCTTTCGTTTGTGGTACCCTAAAAGATCGATCTTCTTTTGATGAAACACCAAAGTTTATTGAATAGATTTCATTAGCAAATATGAACACATTAATTAACGAAAGACCATTAATTATTTTTAAAATTTTTAATGATTAAATTTCTATTAATTATTTTAAAAATATTTAGTCAAAGAAATTTTTGTCATCATATTGTTTTTTCAATTTTAGTCTTAAAATTGGTTCTTATGTGGAACAAATTGTATTCCACAAGTCTGTAGGTGCGCAGATGGCTTAGTTCGTAATTTGAATTCAGTGCATGCATAAACTGAAAAAAAAATGAATGAACTAAAATATGGTTTTTATTTAAATAAAAACGAAAAAAGAAGAAAATAAACGGTGAGAATGTTTTCAGAGAAACATTTTTCTTAATTGTTGAATTTGGTTGTTTTTATTCGAATCGAAATACTGATTTGATTTTTCACAAATGCACATATTCTTTTCATAATTTATTAACTATTAAAAAAGAACGTTCTTTTAAAATTTATCTTTCACAAGCATTGTAATTTCAAAAAAAATAATGGAAATATTAAAAACGTAATGGATTATTAATTGGCTATAAATTTAAATACAGGCATCGAAAATCATAACTTGACTCTCGGAATCCATGTGACCAATGCGCTGAACCCTAAAACTCTGCGGAATTCTCATTAGATGCTTCTCATAAAAAGGAATTTTTTTTATATATTTGTTTTCATTTATTATATGTAGTGGTGGTCAAAATTCGTTCGAATTTATGTAATAATAGCGCAATTGTTATTTCGTGGTTCTCAGGGAATAGACGTTGGTTATAGAATTACTATTTTTTAATTAATTATGATTTTCCCTTCATTCAAACGCGAAACAACTAAGTGTAGAATGTGCATAGGATCTAGCAACCTTACGCACTGTTCTAAATAAAGATATGTTTGGACTTCTTAGTATTGAATTAAACGTTATTTAAAAACGTATATGAAGGCAAGGGTAAAATTTTTCTACAGATTCCTTTTACATGTTTTTTTAAAAAATTATTTTAATATTTAGGGTGTGACTGTGGCGATGGTCCATGTGAACTGGATGAATATGGTTACTCGAAACCTTGTATTTGTGAAGGAAAATTGAAGAAACTTCCCTGCGGAAAATGTAGACGTATGTAAAAATAGATTTATAAAATACATTAAAAACAGTTTTCATTTAAGACTATCATCTACACAAATGAAGCAGAATGATAGTGTGCATGTTTGTTTACGTGTGTTGTTCTAAAAAAAAAGTTGAAAAAAATTAACAACTTAATAACTTTTAATCTGAAAATGGGATTTTTATTGATAGGACATAAAAGTAATGGCTCTAGAAACTAACCTTAAACATGTTAAATAACATAGAATTCATACTCACAATATTTTAAGTTACTGAATCTTACACATAAAGGCAAGTAGCAGGCTTTTGGATAAACATAATGCTTGGTAATGGGCCCTTTCTTTCTAGTAAAGTTAAATTAAAGTATTTTTGGAATTGAAATTGTTTTAAGAACAGTAATTGATATAAAAAAAACTAATTTAGTTTATAAAAAAAGCCATTTTCTTGGTGGTAAATATATTTAACATGACCTATTAAGAACTTACTGATTTTTTATTTTTCTTTATTTACAAAATAAATTCCTTAAATGCTTCAAACTTCAAAAGGAATTATGTATTTTATAACTTTTATACGTTTTTTAAAAGTGACAAATGGTTACCAATTTTATTCAAACTCACTTCAAGAAAGCTGAAGTTATTGAAAGAAGGAAACCTAAATTAAAAGTGGTAAAACGTGGTGGTAAGTATACTTACCACGGCCTTCAAAAGGGTTAAACACTATCAATATAAAGATACATAGTGTTTAAATGTATTTTGATTCCATCCTCTCTCAGCTAACATTCAAAAACATGGTAGCCCAAAGTTACAACGTACTATCGATGGTGCTTGAGAAATAGATGTTTTATATTGGAAGTTGCCTCAACTTATCGGAAATGTTTTCTAGATGAATCGTAAATTAAGTATAAATATTGTTTTGAACATTTAAGAAATATTTTTTATTATTCACTAAAATTAAAAAATTCTCATCTTTGATAAACAAAAATGCATTTTAAAATTTATTAAATTGCAGTTCAATTTTAATCTCTTGTTATAAAATTTTACTTGATAACTATTGGCTGCAATAAATTTAAAAAAAGAGAGTATGTAGAATGGTATAGATAAAATACATAAAACTATAAAAAATAATAAATAAATAACGAAAATCGTTTTTGGCATGGTACTATCTTTGGATTTACGAATTTAATAATTGTGTGCTAAAGTTTTGTAATTCACTTAAAAAGTTCTCGATAGATGGCGAAATAAGCAAAAAGTAAAATTAGCATTAAGGGCTCCAAACTTTCGACCGCTTTCCTGACCAAGCAATTTTGGCTATATTTCCTTGATTGCGGCTACTGCCTATATTTTGAGAGTTTGAAATCCTACTACGTCAATAAAAGGTATGCCTGTTCAGATAAAGTAATGTCTGATTTCGTTACTTAAAATATCGTCGGCTTTGATTAATTAGCATATTTTAAGTCACCACTTCGATTCGTTAAGATTGAGTGAAGGTTCCATTATTAGATCAAAAGTTATTCATGGTTTTTCAATTTTTATTTTGTGCACTGTACATCTAGAGTAACTCGTGCTGTTTGAAATATGTTCTTAAAAGAGAAATTTCTTCATCGTTTCCTTAGATTTCACAAATACAATTTCAGATATAACATTTTAGTTTAAACTATTTCCTGACAATACTTAAAAGTTTTTGAGACATAAAATAGTTATTTTTAAATAGTCTTTCTGTACATCACCTTTTAATTTTGAATGTTCATATTAAGATAACACATTACTAAAATTAAGAAGAAAGAAAACGTGCACTCGTAAAAAGACAAAAGAAAAAAAAGGATTCCTAGGAATTGTACAGATGAATTCCTTGGGATGAACTCGCTACTACTGTATATCTCAATGAAAATACGATATACTTTATGAAAGGTTGGCGCTTTTTACAAAATATTTTATGGAACGGCAAGCAATTAAAAACTAAACCTTTCAGAATTTTTGCTAATTTTGTAAACATTTTATAAATGTCACCACGTGACAGTTGGTACTAAGTGGCGCTTCATATGACCCTCTGAAACATTTACGTGTAGTTGAGAGTAAAATAACTTTACATCAAATTTAAAAAAAGAAAGAATCATACATTAAAACATAAACGTGACTACCACTAGAAGAAATGCTATCCAAAATTGTACAAATTTGGTTGCTCCATGCTACGTATGAATAAAACGAATAAACGTGATTAAGCATAAATAACATGCGCAAAGGGAAACATACCATAGTTTTGGCTTTAGAAACAAGAATCCTCTTCAGAATCTGAGCACATGTTTCGTGCAGTGACGGAAAATCAGTCTCATTTGAAGAAATTTGTTTAACCAAGTACAAGATTCATAAACTGATTCATAAACATAAATTTAGTTCTGGAATTAATGTTTACTTGATTCTGAAACTAATTTTTATGGGAAATGTCATTTTAAATTTCAGTTTTAAGCAGTAAATAAAAATTATTTGGTTTCCTAATTGCTACTTTAAAATTAGCATAAAAATTTACTTTATTTAGTGTGTGACTGTGGTGATGGGAATTGTGAATTGGATGCAGATGGTTATCCAAAGCCTTGTGTTTGTGATGGAAAGTTGATGGAATATAATGGAAAATGTAAAGGTATGTGCAATGCTCTTCAGTTAGAAGTAACACTTCAAATTACTTTATATGCTATTAAATAGCATTTTAAACAAAACCATGTTACTTTTAACGATTTGTGAAATGTGTTTCAAAAGTGTATCAAACTTAAAAAAATTCAGTTTTCTTTTTTAAGTAAAAAACAATTTTTAAAACTTTAAATACTTAGTGTGTGACTGTGGAGATGGACAATGTGAATTGGATGAAAATGGTTCACCAAAACCTTGTGTTTGTGATGGCAAGTTGAAGGAATATGATGGAAAATGTAAAGGTATGTATAAAGTTTTTCAAGATAGTTTTAACCTTCCCCCACGTTTTAAAAAAGTTTTACTTTTCACTTTAGATAATACTATGATTAGGCTTTTATATTATCTGTATATTAGGCTTTTATATTATCTATTTGAAATGGCATCTAATTTAGAAAAACACGTCGACTTTACGAAACAGAAAAACGATTTTCATAACTTTTAATACCAGCGTTAGACTGTGAAGATTGATAATGTGAATTGGATGTAAATGGTTCCCCAAAACCTTGTGTTTGTGATGACAAGTTGAAGGAATATATTGAAAAATGCAAAATTATGTGTAAAGTACTTCAGATAATTACTACATTTTACTACACTTTAAAAATGCTTACTTAACGCTTCTAATAAATCTATGTTTACACTTTTATTTAATTTATGAAACATCATTTGAAATTTTATATAATTCAAAAAATATATAATTTAAAAAATATAGCATTTGAATTTAATTTATTAAATAGAAATTATTTTTTCATTACTTTTAATATTTAGGGTGTGACTGTGGAGATGGACAATGTGAATTGGATGAAAATGGTTTCCCTAAACCTTGTGTTTGTGATGGCAATTTGAAGGAATATAATGGAAAATGTAAAGGTATGTGTTAAGTACTCCAGCTTTACTTCTCTTTAAAAATGTTTACTTAACGCTTGGAATAAATCAATGTTTATAATTTTATTTAATTTATGAAATATCATATGAAAGTTTATATAATTTAGAAAATATAGCATTTGAATTTAATTTATTAAATGGAATTTTTTTTTATTACTTTCAATATCTAGTGTGTGACTGTGGAGATGGACAATGTGAATTGGATGAAAATGGTTTCCCTAAACCTTGTGTTTGTGAAGGCAATTTGAAGGAATATAATGGAAAATGTAAAGGTATGTGTTAAGTACTCCAGCTTTACTTCTCTTTAAAAATGTTTACTTAACGCTTGGAATAAATCAATGTTTATACTTGTATTTAATTTATTAAATATCATTTGAAAGTTTATTTAATTTAGAAAATTTGGCATTTGAATTTAATTTATTAAACCGAAAAACAATTTGTATTACTTTCAATATCTAGTGTGTGACTGTGGAGATGGACAATGTGAATTCGATGGATATGGTTTCCCTAGACCTTGTGTTTGTGATGGCAAGTTGAAGGAATATAATGGAAAATGTAAAGGTATGTATAAAGCTCTTCAGTTCAGATAGCTTTAATACGTCACCATACTTTACTTAACGATTTGAACAACACATGTTAACATTTCTTAGCGATTTGAGAAATGTTATTTTAAAGTGTATCTAATTTTGAAAATGCTAAATGTATATATTAACATTCTTTAGTATTTTTAATAATTAGAATATGATTATGAAAATAGTTCTCTGAAAACCTGAAGTATGTATTAATTTAAGCGTTATTTGAAGGAAAATATGATGTGTAATAAAATACAAAGGCCATGCATTAAATTCAAACACTTTCGTAAACAGATATTTGATTACATTTATGAGTGCGTACTTGGATTTTGAACGTTTGTGCAAAAAATTGCTTTAAGGAACAGCTTAAAAGCTATTTAATAGAATTCTTTAATTGAATTTTGTTACATAATTACGAATACTTTAAGCAAAAGTATAGCATGTTTATATAGTTAATGATGTTTATCCAGGCTTTTTCTCAAAGGGAAATTAAAAATCTACAGCTTAAATGCCTTACATTTGATGCAAAGCTATAATATCTAACTATGTAGTAGTAAAGATTTATCTTAGTTTTGGAACTGGGCAAATATCTTAAATATTTAAAAGTTATTTAACTTTTTTTAATAATCGTCTACTTGGCTAGATATGTCCATATGAATGAGAATTATCAAAATCAATGAATAATGATTCTTCATTTTTAAAGCCCATATAATGCAGAGTTAGAATCAGCGTTTTAATAATAAAGATTATTTCAGAAATGCTTTTCGTTTACTAAAATATTCCTTTTATTTCTCTTTTTTTCGTTTTCAAAATTTTTTTCAGAATTAACAATGCTAAAGATAGGCTTAACTTGTCCTAACAGTCATGAATAAATCTTGCAAATTCTCACCAGTCATTAAAATAGAATGTTATTTGTGTGTTAGTGCTGTTTTTTAGTGTTTTTAGTGTTGTTGTTTAGTGCTGTGTTTGTGCCTTCAAAAATTAAAATTAGTGTTGCTGTTTTAAAAAAACTTTCTAAAAAAGCTATTAAGAAGGAAATTGATGTCAGGAGATTGATATGATATTTAATCAGATTGGCATGATCATCTATCAGATTGATACGATATTTGATCAGAATGATATGATCATTTATCAGATTGATATGATATTTGATCAGATTGACATGATCATCAATTAGATTGATATATTTGATCAGATTTATATGATCATTTATCAGATTAATATGATATTTAATATTAGCACGTATGAAACGATTGGGATTAAATTTGCGATGGAAAAAATATAATTCTAATTTCGATCGAGACTTTTTTTAATGATAAATCAATACTGATAGATTGATCATACTTTATTGAGACCAAAGGCAATCATTGGATTACAACAGCTTTTCAAACCAACATTTGAAGTAAGGCAAATAAATGAATACATTTTTAGACGCAGAATAACAGATTCGGCATGCTCCCTCATCCATATCCATTGTTTTTTTTAATTTTTTTAATCAAATTTTAAAGGAGTTTGTCTGTTTTTTTTTGGATAAATAAACATAGCTATATATTATTTTGATTCTATTCATTTGATTAAAAATGGTATTTTAACAAATGTTATTACAAACATTAGAATTTCAAGTAATTAGTTTACTTATATTAAAAGTAAAATATTTTCTTTTAGCTTATAAATCAACAAAGCAGATATTTTCTTCTTTTTTAATACTCACACCAAAAATTAAAATTAATACTATCGTCTTGATTACGAAGCAAGTTTAATTTCTCGAGATGAATATTTTTTAACAAAATCTTGAAAATTAACGATAATTAAATCATCAATAAATATAAAAACAAATTGCCTTTAAATTTGTAGTTATCAAATGTATTATTATTAAAATTGTGTAGGTAAATATCCACCTTGATAATTTTTTTATTTTTATTTTATAACCCAATTTTTTATTTTATAACCCAATTTTTTGGATTTACTACTACTAATGTTCAACTTCGTAGCCTTGTAATTTTGAACCTAATCCAGAAGACAAGTGAACTCCTGAACTAAGTATCAGGAGAAATTTACCATCGTGGAGGACTTTTTGATGGAACTAACCCGCATTTCCGTTTCATGGAAAGGAAATCCACGAAAACCATCCACGGTTAGCCTGATGCCAAGGGGACTCTAACTTATGATCCGTCTACCACTTAGAATATTTTGCATCAGTACGGTAGTCGGTGCAAGCCGGATACAAATTCTTATCGGCCAGCCATCTCTGTGATTCGAACCCAGTTCACATCATTAGAAGGTGAAAACTCTATCACCTGAGCCATCATGGCTCTAACCTTATTAATTATAAACCTTAAACTATCCATTATAATTTTATTGCCTGACGCACATCCAATTTCGGTCCAATCCAAAATAACTAGTAAATCAAATGCTCTTCAGTACTGCAGTAAGAGCGCGTCGTAAAGGAATCGTCTGTTTACGCTTCTAACTCTATTTACGCTTCTAACTCAATTTACGCTTCTAACTCAATTTACGCTTCTAACTTTATTTGCACTTTTGTTTTCATATTTTGTAATCTGGCAATCTTCTTACGAAATCATTCTTGAAAGATTCCGGTACGTGTTAAGTTCATTTGAATTAGCTATTCGCGTTATAAATTTCATTTTGCGTTTTGTTCTGTATTTTCTTCATATTTTAGTTTCTGTTTTTTTCTTAATATGTTTTATTACGTACATCTTGTTTACTTAATGTGTTATATTTTCGCTTCAATTTTTTAGGCCTCCTCACACTATTGTATTGATATATTTTGCTTCGGCTATATTGATATAATATTAGAAAGCACTTCTTTTTGCGGATATGATCGTGTGAGCTGATGAAGAGATTATATCTCTTCATTATTTTGTTTTCCGGCTTTTAATTATAAATTTATTTTTCTAAATAAATTTTTTTTAAATATTTTTCTCAAAATATTTTATTTAAATTTTTTTCCTTCTTTTTTCATTAATCTTTATTATTTTCCGTGTTTCTTCCGTATTTTTAAACTTATTTTATGAATTTTATATATTTGTATACTTACATCTTAAGAGCAGTAGATTTAACTCTTCTTTTTTTTCCCTTTATCATTTTTATGATATATATATATATATATNTATATATATATATATATATGAATATCCTGTATTTCTGTTAGAGTGTTTCTGTGGCAATGGAAGTCGTTATTGCAGTTTCCGAGAGGATGGAAAAAAACAATGTTCCTGTAAATCAGACTACTCTCTAATAAATGGTACCTGCAAAGGTATGTAAAATTTATTAAATGAAGTCTCTTTGCTTATACTTTATCCTTTGTTCGCTTAATTTAATGATTTATTAATGGATTTACTATTTTTTTTGCCTTTTCTACGCAATATGTAGTATGAATGTCCACGCATTAATATCTTTCAATAGTACGTTTTTAGATATTCACTTCTGCGTGTATGAGTCAATCATCTCGAATACGTGTATGAGTCAATTTCAAATTTCTACTGGAATTCTGTGCATAGTAATTGAATTCTGTTTCTAATTTTTTAACAAACTATATCAAAAACAAGTAAACAGAATTAAAACTAAGAAAAAGGGAAGTAATGAAATATTTTAAAAACTTCAAAACTGCATTTTACAGTAGTTTAAAAATGGGAAAATGCTTTATTTTGAATTTCGCAATACAATTCTATTGGGAACAAAAATTCCCTCTATGCCTTTCGACAGATTTGTATCCTAAGAGGACTGACAAGAATTAAAATATTTTCTTCTTTTCACACTAGAGTAGTTATTTTAAATTATTTTTGCTGTAGTATCCTCAAATGATCGAGTCTATTTTGGGAAAACTTTGACTTCATAAACGAAATCCATTAGCAATTGAAAATATACGAACCAAAAAAAGAAAAATAATTATTTTGAAAATATTTGAAGAAAAAAAAAACCTTCCGCCAATATTGGTAATAAAATTAACGATAGTATTAATGTTCACGAGAAATATTAAGGAAAGTTTTATTTTTATTATTTATGCAATATATGGTTATTGAAATTTTTTGTAAGTTTCATATTTCTTTTCCACTGGGCTTTTACTAAAATCATTTAATATGAGCCACCATAATATTAAAAAAATTATGGATTATTTATTGTATATAAATTTAATTGCAGGCATGAATTATTTAATAAATTATGTTAAAATAATAGTTCAAAAAAATCTTAACTCTCAGAAGCTCAGTGATTTTTCCCCAGAACCGTATGGCTCCGCAGAATGCATTTAAAAAGCCGTTTCTCTATAGCAGCCATACAGAGATGCCCACTTGCTCCGGACAGCAGATATTTATTTTAAAGTGGTAGTTTATCAATTGTGACTCTTGGTTTAATAAATTCAATTTAGTAGATTTTTATCCACCCCTATTTCTAGATAATTCGTAGGCTTATATAATTCACCACTTTATAGTACTTATGTCATGCTATATCTTTTAAAAAGCAAGCAAAAATAGTCAAATAATTTCAAAACTTACTTTATAGTTATTTACCGTTTTTTAAAAATTATTTTGGCCTGTCCGGAGCAGTTGGCATCTCTGCCATTAGAATAAATTGGGTTAACAACTTCTGTTTTCATTACCTTTTGTATTACCAACTCATTAATAACATCGTTCAGTTCATAAAACACACTATTTTATTCATTTATCTATTTATTTATTTTTTTTGCTTTATAAAATGTATTGATTCATTTTCAAATATATTCAACATAACAATAATATTAACCAGTTAACTAGCAATATTAGATTGTAATTTATTATTAGAAACAGGTATAGTAAGATGCTGATCACACTGATGAAAAACATTTAGATTGCTTATCTTTCAGATGGAACCTTCTATTCGTATCACTTTGTTTACCTTGTTGTTTAGAATAATAAGTTAAATTTGTATTATATTGTTATTTTTCATTTGTAAATTTTTTTGCTTTATAATCTTTATAATTGCTTAATAATCATCCCTCAATTAAAATTCATCACTTTTAATCCAAGAATTACTATTATGCAACATGCTTCTTATCACGAAATTAAGCACTAAAAATGGGTTCAAAATTTTTGTGGATTTTCTGCGTTTTGGGTTACCATGGGCACAGGGAAGTGATTATTCACCTAAATATCCACAAATTTCAGCTCCTGAATTTTTCCTGCACTTTGATACAATTGAAATCAAAGTTTTGCATGCTCTTATTAGCAATATTACTCGAAATGTGAGGTTAATCTCGTAGCAAACTGGATGATAGTTTTTTCTTTTAAGTTGCGCGGAATTAATTAAATATTTTTGTAGGAGTTTGGTGAAAGTTGCACAATATAAAAACTTTTTAAGTCAGTATTCACTAATGTGTAAAAAGATACCATTTTTACTTTTTTTTAAACTTAAATTAAGGTTTTGTTTTTTAATTTCTCCTCAATGCTTTTTGTAACGAAGGCCCGTGTCAACAAGACCCAAGTATTACTTTTTACTACATAAAATTTGAAGAAACATGCCCATTGATTATAAATGTTTGAAAAATACTTTTTTTTGCCTTAAACATTTACATCTATTATCTCATTATTTTGATTGCAAGACTCCTAAACATTTATTTATACATAGTTTGATTTTCAGGTTTAATTTATTTTCATAATTTCGTTTCTGTTAAATTATCCAAGCAACTAAAGATTATACAATAAAGTGTTTTAAATTTGTTTTAAGTTTTTATTCAGAAGAGATGCATATCTTAGTATTGGATTAACATTAATTTATTTCTTTAGCATGTTATTGTGGCAAACAAAGTTACCGGTGTACTTACAATGATAATGGACAAAAATATTGTAAATGTTACGAAGGATACATTCAGAGGAATGGTATCTGTGAAGGTAATTAAAAATTTTAATTTCCTAAATAAGCTTCGTTTATCCTTATTGACACTTTGTATCTAGTAAATATTTAAATAAGTGAGGCAACGTTTTTTTCTGTATTTTTTACGCTGAAATAAATAGGACTGCATACCTGCCAACTTTTATGCCTTTGGCTTAAAATTTTATTTCTATCTTTAACCCCTTAATGATCGGTTAATTTTCAAGAAAACGGTAATAAAAGTGCCTATTTTTTTGGCTTTTGTATTTGTATTATGTATTTAATTAGTGTTGACATCTTGTTTAAAATAAACTAACTATCTACAATTACCTTAAAAATATCCTGGTACTGCCATCTGGTGTGTAAAATGAGGAATAAAATGTTTTCCTGGCAAAAGAAATGAATTAGTTTTATTCTTATTGTCGCGTTAATACTGACACTCCAGCCCGTCAATATCACGGGAGCGAGAAATAGAGGCGAAACCTCACCCCGTCATTTTCACGGGAGCGAGAAGGAAAGGGTTAAAGTGGTAATAAAATGTATGCTTTCTTTATATTACTTGCATTTATAAACTTAATATATAATCTTTTTAACCACCACTATTTTTGAAAAAATTAAGCATATATATACATATGCAATACTGTCGTGGTAGTCCGCATAAGCTTTTTCAAAATGCAGCGTACGTTTCTGCCTAAAATTGTAATTTAAATTCCATTTTACTACCACTGGAGAAAATCATCCTTGAAAGGATTAAAAGTTGGCAGGTATGGATATTGTTGAATGGTTTGAAAAAAAAGTAAACTCCCCCGTAAACTAGCTATGACTGAAATGGTTTTACTACCAGCATTTCCTCTTTTCCGTTTAGCTTTCACCCCTGCCCCAAGCGGAGAAAGTTGGGGGACTAAAAGAGTTGGGGCTTCTGGGAATAAAGGACAAGTTAAAAATTTCAGACATAAAGCCCTTGCAACTACAGATCTACTAGTCCTATTGACGCGTATTGGGTCTCATTCAAATAGGCGTGGAAAATGAATTGAAAACAGTACTGTGATAATAGCAGTATGATGAATAACTATCATTATACTGCTAATAATGATAGTGATAAGCAGTATAATGAAAAACTATCATTAATTTTCCAGTAGACAAGTCAACATGTTTCGGTCACTTGAAAAATAGTAAATTCTTTATGAAGAATTAAGTTTCAAGTCATAGAAAATCCCCTTTTATATTCTCTAGGGCATTTCCATGCGTTATATCGGAGAAAGCGCTTTAAAGTGTTCAAATTTTCATGGTGGAACCGATATGTTGATTATACATTTGTTTTAATAAACAGTGATACTAATCTATGAGGGATCCAAGTTCACTATTTTTCTCGATTGTGAATTCGGTTAATCTCAACTTTCAATTAATTTTAAATGCAGATGTTAATTTTATCGTGCATTTTAAATTAGATAATCCTGATGGTTTTGATCTTTCCGCCTATCGTAAATATTTCTCGGCTTTTTCTTCCCTTCCGTCATTTTTAATTATTCTAACTGACAGAGAAAAAAACAAAAATTTTTTTTTCATACTTTTGCTTTCCATGATCTCGACCTCTTCTATGATTTTTCCACTTCAAATTCCGAATTAGCGTCCTCTAATAACTTGCTGTTAACAGTAGATTTAACCTTTCTACACTTGATTCAGTTTTTTCAAAACTTTCTAGACCGAAACCTCTTAACTCTTCTAGTCGTCATTGCAGATTTGCTACAATACCTTTTTACCCCTCCGTTTACTATAAATTTGACATCTTGTCTCGTTTGGATTTTAAGGCCATCTCTAGGTCTGTTAACACAACTAAATTTAAGTCCCTCATAGATCCCGTATTGATAATTGCTGAGGCATTCACCACTTAATAATGCAATCTTGGCTACATTAAGCAAGTCAGACACGTTTGAAAATTTAGACTAAAGGAACTCGCTAGATTTTTCCATTATGCAGAATTTAATAAATAGTATATTACAGTACATTGTTGGAACCTTACGCATAATTTAAATTCGATAAACCAAAATTCTTTTCTTCCTAATCATATTAGGTCATCTTGATGCTCTGGAATATAGTTTGCTTCATATGAATTCCGATTCCATAGTTAACGATATGTTTTTACCAAAAACCCTCACTATTGCATGGAAATACATCCTATACCGATACGTATATTTCGGCATCATTTCGCACTGCTATAGCGCTTTTTTTTTTTTGGTTTTTCGCTTTTCACCTTTATTTTATTTTTCTTTATCTCGATGGTCGTTAATCATTTTTTTAAAATCCGTTTTGTGTTCGTATTTTTCATTGATCTTGGTTGCTGTGTTTCGTACTCAATAATTTTTGAAGCTAATATAATTTCCCCCCTTCATCAGTTTCTTGGCATTATTCATTTCAACTACACTGGAGGACAAAATTAAGAGATGGAAGACATTTTCCCAAATATCTAAAAACATACTGAATATAAATAAATGATATTTGGTATGGATATAGCTTATTCCATGATAATAAAGTATGCAAAACAAAAATGAAAGTGCCATTCACTGGCAAGACCTATTGCCAATAAATCCAATGTAGTCTGAACTTAAGGATAAAATATGACAATAAAAGTGAGGCTTGTGCAGTGTGTGTTGCCTCTAGTATGGTGTATTTTCACCCCTGACAGATAGCATGTTGTTGTTGTTGTTGTTGTTCATTTACGTCGCACTAGAGCTGCACAATGGGCTATTGGCGACGGTCTGGGAAACACCCCTGAGGATGATCCGAAGACATGCCATCACAATTTTGATCCTCTGCAGAGGGGATGGCACCCCCGCTTCGGTAGCCCGACGACCACAGATAGCATGTATACAACGAGTATGCATGCTGTTAATAAGGGAGTTGAGGAGCACTTGTGGAAGACCCTCCCATTCTTCCACCAGAGCAATTTTTAACTCCAGAATGGTACTGGGGGGAGGTTGGCGCATAGCAATAGCTCTCTCAATAGCATCCTAAGCATGTTTAATAGGATTCAGGTCAGGGGATTTGGCTGGCCAATCCATTCGTTGAATATCCTCGCTTTCCAGATTCTCATCAACCATGAGAGCCCTATGTAGTCGCGCATTGTCGTCCATAAAAATGAACCCAGGGGCAACAGCGCCCCTGAAAAGACGCACATAGGGCTCTAGGATCACCTGCCTGTACCTCTGGGCATTCACGGAACCATTGTCAAACACATGGAGCGGTGTGCGGGTATCTTGCATGTGCGAATGAATGTGCGAAAATGCTTTCCATCTCCTAGTTTCGTCCACCAGTGTATTTCACTTGTTCAATATGGCATTGTCAGGTATATAAATGGGTACAAGTCAAACATTATATTTCTCAACTATTCTTTGTCTATCGTCTAGAATTCGGTTTCATTCGATTCAGTGTAAACTAGGCTTCATTTGTATTTATATCAATATTTAAGTTTTTATCCCTCCTCCTTCAAATGACATCTGAGATCATTCGCCTTTTTACCTCTTACTAAAATGAGGTTATTTATTAGCATGCAACTAGGTATAATCAATTTCGCAAATTTTTGTACAATTTTAAATCTTTGTTTTTTTTTATAGAAAATATGCAAATCCGATTATTAAATTCATTTGAATTATTTCCTTTAGAGTGTTTCTGTGGCAACGGAAGTAAATTATGTTTTTTCCATGAGCATGGACAAAAACACTGTGTTTGTGAAGAAGGATACTCTCAAAGAAATGGGACCTGTAGAGGTAATTGATAATTAATTTAGATCCTTGCTATATTTTATTTAAGGTTTATTTTATTTATCTAATATTTAATTTTACATTATTTCAATAGCCACATGTGAGTGGAGTGGAGACTGTTTGAACGATGGAATCTGTGTTTTTGAAGAAGGCAGTTATTTTTGTAAGTGTCATGAATATTTCAAAGGTGATAAGTGTGAAATAAACGAGGCCTGTAAGCCAATTGAAATTTCCTGTGAAGCCATGAAGGCAAAGTGTAAATATGTGGCATGGCTAAGAAAAGCTTTCTGTGAATGTCCACCTTCTACTCAATACGACTGGAATTTGAACTACTGCGTTGGTATGTATACATTTACAAAATGTTTGCAACTTTTAAATTGCACATTTTGGCCACGTCTAGATTTCTTCCCTGGCAGCACTTCATGTTCCTGCGACATAGGCCCTGGGTTCCAACTTCGGACAGAACAAGGTTGGCACAGCTTTTCTTTCCTTCAATGAGTTAATAATATGAGTTCCAAGCGTGCCCAGGGACTAAACAGTAGAGGTTCCGCGTTCGGCTGAGCACCCAATTTAGAACATGTGCTCCAGCTCCCAGAGCCCAAGGTCGAGAAAACTGGGCTTGGCACAGAAGGCCTCAGATCTCCGTGGGCTGTTGCGCCACTGAGCTTAGTTTAAATATTTAACATTTATTTCCTAAAATGTTTCCATGTTTTTATTTTTATTTTCCATGTTTTAGATTGCTTTGAAGGGGATATATGAAATTGATTTTGGAGAATATGAAATCGTGAGTTAAAAGAACTTAAATTTTACGTCATTACATTCAGTATAAATCTTCTCAGGCTTCCATGTGCTTCACTTGACCCTTCAGAAAGACTGAATGCTTGTGCGGTGTATTTTATGGTGCATTTTGTACGTTATAGGCGTTAGTATGTAAAAAAAAAATATTTATTTGTAGCACAAAGATGACTCATGATACCTTTAACTTATTTATAAATTTTTTATTGATATTTTTTTTCATATAATCTTCTTTTTTATATCTTCCAACACGGTTTTGGATTTCAATGCTTAATTTGAGACCAATTTTTATCTTTTTATCACTGTAAACCTCTAAATATTATTTTACCCTCTATGCGTTCGTAAAAAAAGAATAAAAACGTCAACGGGAAACTGAGAATGAGCAACTAGTTATCCTTTCTTTTGATGACGCTTTTAAAATTATATTATCCCGAGTTTATTGACAAAAAACTTAAATATTTTCCGTGATTTCGTTCTAAATTGAAACAAATACCGGTTTTAAAGCGTATTTCTGCGTCTCACCTAGTGAAACAAGTGGGCTCGTTGCATATCAGAACCTGTTGAATTATTTTCTTGGCATCGAATAACAAAAGTTGAGACAAATATTTACATAGGAGACGAAACAGTTAAAAGGTTTCCCCTTGCACGTGTTGTGCAATTACGTTGGAGCATGGTCTGTCTAAAAACTGTTGTTATAAAAAGTTCCTCTCTAAGCTCTGTAGTTTGACTTATGTATTAAGATCTGTGTAGTGATAAAATGGGAAAAATTTATTAACCAATAAAGTGTCTTTATTTAGTAAAAAGTGGTGCACACACACAGACACACACACACACACACACACACACACACANTAAATACAAAAAAACACGAAGAAAATTAAGAAAAACAATAAGTATCATTTATTGCGCATAAGCTGCAAGTAAACAGAACTCATTAGATAGGTTCAAAATGAAGATAAAAGAAAGGAAAATTACAGACATATGAAGAAAAAAAAAAGGGGGGGGGAAGAAAAAAAGCAATAAAAAGAAAAACAGGGGGGAAAAAAAGATAATATTTTTTTAAAAAATCCGGAAGATAAAAGATATAATCTTTTTATCAGCCCACACGATTATATCTGCAGAAAAGAGTGCTTTCTGATATTTCTGACAGGGCTGATGAAAAGATTATATCTTTTATTTTCCGGATTTTTAAAAAATTTTTTATCCTTTTTTTCCCTCCCAGTTTCTTTTTATTGTTTTTTTCTCCCCCCCTTTTTTTTTCTTCATATGTCTGTAATTTTCCTTTGTTTTATCTTCATTTTGAACCTATATATATATATATATATATTCGTATCAGGAAAGAATAAAACATGTTTTATTCGATGAATATTAAAAATACTTGTTTCGAAAACGAAGTTTTGTACAGCTACATTTCAACTTTAAAATTGGTTAAATATAGTGATTAGAATGGAAACTTAGTGGTTGTATTTTATTCACTGTGTAATAAAATGGAAACACCATGTGAAATGGCGCGGCATAACTTTTTTGAGATTCTGGAATGCAAAGTAATTATTAAAATTTGAATTCGACGAAAGATTTTTAGCTAAGAAATGTAAATTTACATTATAACGGTTAAGAAGCTAAAAAATGGAGTGATGAGGTTTCAAGGAAATAAGGTAATGGGGAGGTTGAACTTAGACTAGGAATATTTTTGACAGAGATGAAGCTAAAACTTTATTAAAATGAATTAACTATGCCATTATTACTATTGTTATTTTAATATTAACTCCATATGTAATTTATTTGAAGAAGTATTATGCAATTAAATACGCAACTTATTTTATTTTAAAACAGGTGACAATTTAGTAAGTTATAAGTAAAGCAATATTTCAACACTGCTTCGCCAAGTATTTAATGAGAATGGCCAGAGTTTCGTTTGAAATGATTTTATTTCAATTCATAAACTAAATTAAGAATAATTTGTATTAAAAAAATGTTAATTTTCCTACGTGAGCTACTACTTTTTATTTTCATTTTTCATTTAGAATTTTTATTATTGATATACTCAATTATGTCAAAAGTGCTATTTTAAATAATATGTATACGATAAGAACAAAACTCATAAAAATTTTATTTATATTTTACAGAAAAACCAAGTTCATTGTATTTCATACTATTATGCATAGCATCAGGCTTTCTCCTTATATCCACATTATCTTTAATCATTGTTTACAGAAAGTAAGTTAACTGTAGGTTTGTGACATATTTCTAATCCTATACGTTATATTCTTTACAGAGCACGTTAATAGATCTTATGATAATGATAATATAAAATTGAACTGTAAAATCGAAGAAATATAGGTAAGAAAAAGTCAATCGGAGACCTTATAATTAATTTGTGAAGCTGGGTCTATTTTCGTAACGTGTCTAATCATGCACATTTTATCGTTTCAACAGGAATGAACAATTGACTGGATCGCGATCAGTTTAGCAAATCAGAAAATGGATTTATTCCGACAGTTTCATAGATCAGATATACTCATTATTACACAAAAAACCTAGGTTAAATTTAAAAAAAATTAACAAATCATGCAATACACAAATTTTTGAACCTTGGTAGCCCAAGAGATAGTGCGTTTGTCTCCCAATGAGGTGAATCAGATTCAAATCCTAGCGTTGGCTAGTTGAAATAAGTACTGATCCCTGCTGGCTCAGTGTTAGACGAATCATAGTTTAAAATCTTCTTGCCAAGGGGCTAACCATGAGAAGTTTTCGTACTTTTTCTCTCCATGTAACAAAAATGTGGTTTAGTTTCCACAAAGGCAAGCTTGTCCCAATAATTGATTCGGTAGTATTCATAGTTGTAAACTCAGAATTGGGTCGGCTGTTTAATTTCGGCTATATAAAAAGCCACATAATGTTTTAAAAAAGGCTCCTATTTACTGAAATTAGAGTTATCAAATAGGAGATATTTGAGTTCACATATCCCTTGTTTCAAAATGTATCTTTAGAATCTTTAATAAAAACGAAAACAGAAAAAATACTCATTAATTCATAATAAAGTTAAGAAAAAACAAAAACGCTATCCAAATCAAATTACAGTAGAAAAACTAGGATGTATTTAGCATCAAAACAGTTTTTATTAGAGGTTGAAACTTGATGATGCCTTTAATGTTTGTCCTCCAACCCCTCTCTGTTTTCTGCTCCAATCGAGTGAAAAAATAAAATTAAAAAAGTTTGTATTTTTCATGTTTTAGGGCAAAATTTTATTAATTTTCAAGTAACATTCTGAAATGTTAACAACAAACCTGTAATTTGTATTGAAATTAATAAATTTCTATTACGAATTATGAATCTCAAAATGTTTTGAAATTCATTACGATTTATATATTTCTTCCATAATTAAATGTCATTAAAGTTTTTATCACAAAGATTTCAGAGATTTACTTATTTATTATTAAATTGAGAGATTTCATTATTTATAACTTGGTTGAGCAAGGTATAAGTATTGATTTTGTTGCGTTAATCACCAATAGCAAAGAATATGTTCGTTTCTATATTTTCCTTCACTAATTACGGATAAATATGCTTCTACTAATTAAAAACAACGTATTGAGACACTCCCAATAACGAATTGAATTTTTTTTTGACCGTATTACAAGCTATTCCGACACGTATGTTATAATGTATTTAAAGAAATTGAAAATGTGATCGTTATTGCTTTTTTAACCAATAAGTGATTTTTACAGGTTTCGAAGCAAAATCAGCAATAAATAAAAGAAAGAAGACTACATTTGTTAACATTTTAATGTGTGTTATGTTGAATAGAATAAATTTTAAGTTAAAAAATTAATGGCCTTTTATTTCAGATTTATTTTGAGCATATATTTTTACACCACATCATAAAATAAACAAATCAATGTAATTTAAAACAAGAAAAGTGTTAATAAGCCGAACATGAGAATTTTCGACGTAAACTTTTATTATGATCTTTTAATCCTACCTCAAGAAATAATTGAAAGGGTTTTAATACAATTGTACTACGTATAAATATACGCAGGATATTCAAGCATTCGACTGGCAGAGTCAGAGGGATTATAAAAGACACCAAGAAAGGGATAACTTACACTAGTACATGACATTGTCGTACCTTATACCAGTAAAAGAATTGTACACTTATACTAGTACACGAACGTGAAAAGGGTGATGAAAATCGGGAAAAACGTGTGCAAACTCTGAATCTAGAGGAGACGTAAGAACAACAGAGTTCTTTTTTCCTTCTCTGAATTGCTGAGAACTGCGTCGGCAATATTATGCAATGTTAATGGCCCTTTTTTTTTCAATAAATAAGAAAATGTTTATTTCGAATCTTTAATAGAAGTTCCGAAATATCAAGCTATTGAATAGCCTATAAACATTATACTGTAACCATTTATCGGTTTCTCAAAACAGAAATTTCGGAAAGTTGTAAGGATACGGAAGATACGGTTCAACGTCGGTCTCTTTATTGGATGACGATTGCTCTATCCTATTAACCTCACTGCTCAGGTATACCATAGTTGATGCAATTAAATGACTTGGAAAGAGATCTACCAATACTGCTGACAAAATAAAAATTAATTAATAAATAAATAAAAATAAAAAATAAACATATAAATAAAAAATAAACTGCAAAATGTTTTCAGATAGAAGACTTGCGTGAGAAAAACTTTTTGAGAAGGCTAGGGTCCATTACATGATGTCGAGCTAAGGAGAAAGAATAAATAAAGACATGGATTTCAGATCCGCTTAATGAAATATTGATAAAAAAAAGACAGATCTTTGTTTTGGTAAATCGAAATTTTGTACCTAAGAAAACATATTTTAGGTAGTTATATAAAATATCTTATCCGTTAGCTACATTAACTTTTAAAAATGCACTTCAGCTAGACTGAAAAAAAGTAATTATGATTCTAGAATTAAATGAAATTTTCATTTAAAATATAATGCATATTTATTTCTTCATAATAAACATATATGAGCTAATGTGAAAAAAGAATTTTTTGTTAATTTTGGTGTGGGTATAATGAAGTTACAAAAGAGAAAAAAGTGTTATTTAACTATACAAGCTTGAAAGTGAGACTAATGTAATACAGAAAAAGGAGATAAAGGTACCTGCATTCATAACTTATCAAGTATCTTTAGAAGTTGTTTAGTTCGTTATACATAATATCTTAAAAGCATGCTACATCAACTGTGCATCTCTTAAGCTGAGATTTGGCTATGGCATTTCTTGAAGAAATATAGAGCATCACACTGATTTCTGAAGGTAGTAGATTTTGATTATTTAAACAAGATATTATCAGTAATAGGCCATTCATATACATTAGCACTTAAGTAATAGACCATTCATGCAGATTGCTGATAGCAAAAATGAGATACACTTAACTACAACAATTACGGTGAAGCCTCCAGATATGAAAACCTCTGTGCAGCGACTTCCTATATTTACGGCCATTTCTGGGAAGCATGGAATTTTCCCCATAGACATAGTGTTAAAAAAACTTTAGGAGAAAGCAACAAAGCCACTCCCAGCGATCGGGCAAATCTCCGCACCAAATGCGGAAAGGTCAAATAAGAAGACTCGAAATGTATGAAGAAAAAAAATACTTACAAAACAAATAAGTAGATTCAAATGAAATCAGAATATTTTTGAGTGACTCTTATTTAGAGAGCTCTTCTTGACGATTACTAAAAGACATTGAGAATCTTATTTTAGCGACAAAGTGAGCAAAAAACGATGCTATCAATGATTTTGTTTCCGAGTTGAAAGTTAAATGAGAAAAAAAAAGTTATTTAAAAACAAATTAAGCATCTCAAGCAAGCTTACTTATCATTTTTTAAAATAAACTATAATTATATTAGCAATAGCATATAATTATATTGGTAGGGGTCATTTCTATTGACACTAAATTTTATTATCGATCCGGTTTCCATGACTTCAGGACAAGTGACATTTCCGCACCAAGAAAATGGCACAGAGACAAATAAAAATTGCTTGCTAAAAATCCTGTACCTTCACTAACATTCGTCAGTGTAAGTAACCCCTAAAAACGACCATTTTACTGTGGAATATTAAATGGTTGTTCCTGACAGGTTCCACTGTAATATACAACAGATTATTTTCCCGTCACCATAAGTTTACAAGCCGAACGATTCAGAATCCAAAACTGTAGCAGTCAAAATAAATCAAACTTGGAACAACTCTTACAAGTAGAACTCGTTTTCTATCAGTTTCAATCAGAACACAGTCAGGAAGGTGATACATTAAAATGTTTTTAATATATTACAAAAAAAAATGCAATTGAGCGAGTTGGAAGTTACTGTCACTCTTTTTGTTATCTATCTACTCTTCAGAAAGTTACATAAAATGTGAACAAAAGGTGAGCTACAATGTAATCAAAACGTGTTTTAGAAAGTAACGTCTGGGAATCGACTGATTTTGATGTGGTAGATCCAATCGTTATTATGGTGTCTAAGGCTCTGTTGTGGTTTCTCACTTACTAAAAGTTCAGTTTCATAACTCAAGGAATGTTTTACTACAAATACTATACTAAAAATCAACAAACTTGTTTTCTGTCATATTTAGAAGCAATAATAACATTACCAGATCAACATGTTATAGCAATATATTTAAAAAACGCTTTGAAAGATTCAAGATGCAACAAAATACAATAATTCTTTTATAACTCATAAGTCAGATGCATATGTTTTAAAAGCATATGCAAAAAAATGATAATTCCTCTTCTTTCTACAGAGATCCTGAACCAAAAAATACTTTCTAAGAAATTTTTTAAATCTGTAATGCGCTATCTCTTTACGAAAAATAAGCTAATTTTATGATTTTATAATATTTTTCTTTAAGTAGTTTTTCAAACTTTAAAATTGAAAAAAAATGTTAGGCGAAAAAAAAATAAGTTATAGGAATTGGCTTTGAATGATGAAAAATTTGTTCTTGATATTTTTGTCCGGACGTTTCAGGCTGTTCAATGACAGTTATAAAATAAAAACCGTCTCGTGAGAGCCGCGATGGCTCAGGGGATAGAGCATTCTCCTTTCAATGAAGTGAATTGGGTTAGAATCACAGCGATGGTTGGTCGATACAAATTCCGCATCCGACTCGCACCGACCTCAGTGTTCACGTAAAATATCCTCAGTGGTGGGCGGATCATGGGTTAGAGTCCCTTTGTAGTCGGGCTAACCGTGGGAGATTCTTGTAGTCTTCCTCTCCATGTAACGCAAATGCATGTTAGTTCCAACAAAAAATCCTCCACGAGGCAAATTTCTCCCTATACTTGATCAAGGAATTCATTTGTCTTTTGGCTTGGGTTCAAACGCTCAAGGTTATGGAGCTGAGCATTAGTAGGCGTAAACCCAAATTTTGGTCGGCTGTTCAACGGCGGTAGTGAAATATAAAAATTATAAAATCTGTCAAGCGAGAAGCCGTGGTGGCTCAGGGATTCATCTTCTAATCTGCTGAACTGGGCTCAAATTCCTGTAATGGCAGGTCGATGTGAATTCCGCGCATTGCTCGCACCGACCACAGTGCTAATGTAAGATATTCTCAGCAATATACTGATCATGGGTAAGAGTCTCTTTGCTGTCAGACTAACCATGGGAGGGTTTCGTAGTTTTCCTCTCCATGTAATACAAATGCGGGTTAGTTCTATCAAAAAGCCTTCCACGTAGTAAAATTTCTCCCAATACTTGATCCAGGAATTTCCTTGTCTTCGGGATTGGCAATGGAGTTGAACATTGGTAACCGTAGACCCTAAATTGGGTCAACTATGCAACGATGATCATAAAATCTGTGCTGTGATTCAAAAAATTGCTTCAGCATTTTATTAATAAAAAAAAATTGTTTTTGGTAAAGTCAAACGTACCTCTTTATCAAAATAAATGCGCGTTCAGTTAATGAGAGCTGACTATTTCAATTTAAGACGAAAATTGAAAGTTTGTTTGAACAAATTTTGTACTTTAAAACAGATTTTGTTAAAATTTTATCATACCTTTCAACGGAACTTTTTCCGATATCCCTATAAATATTTAAATTAGATTTGATTAAGTTATTGTCTTGCATAGCCTCTCAAAGCAGAACTAAACAGGATTGATAATTGAAAATTATCAGTCAAAAATGGCTGTTTACCTTGTATCGTGCTACAAACTCGATAAATAATCAGATTATGTAAATAGTATGAAGTAGTTCAAATAGAATCACTTTTTGCTGAATTCAATGATTTGAGCACTTATAGGTGAGTCCTTATACCACTCTCAGAAGAATTTACAGATAAAACTTATCGAAGATAACAAAATAAAAAGTTACCACTCCACAAACTATAAATTTTTTTTTTATCAGTTTCGTTCCAAAAGAAACGCTTTTTAATATCAAAATAATCAGAAGTGACTTTCAAGATGACCAAACTTGTTTTTCCTGTTATACTAATCTGTGTTGTTTATGTTGCAGATTCATTTAGAATTGATTCTAATGAAGGTAACTGAGTTTTAACTTCATATATAATGAGTTTTTTTCGTATGTTGCAGGCTTATTTGAAAATATTACTTTGTAAATATTACAATAATTTTACACTGTACCTCGCTAATTAGAAAAGTTTTCAATGTTCTGATGTTTTTAGGTTCATAACAATCAACTCGAACGTTTTTAGGTAAAAGAAAAATAGGCGAAGGTTAATTAAAAATATTCGAAATCAATCAGTTTGAAATTGCTTAGACATTAAAAATATTCGAAATTAATTAAAAATATTCGAAATCAATCAGTTTGAAACTGCTTAGACATATGACCTCATTATCATTTAGCCATGTTCATTGCTGGGGATTTAAATCAAGATGTACAGTAAATATACTTATTATTTATTATTAATTAATATGAATATGAAAGAATATAGTAACCAGCCTAACGATGTTATGCATAATGGTGGCACTATTGTATGGTAAAAAGGAATAATTATGTTCCGTTGGAAAATTAAATTTATGCTCATAGATGTTCAATGTTTGTATGTTCATGGATGTTCAAAATTTTGATAAGTAGTAATTTGTAGTTATGATGTAATTGTATGATTAAAAGATAAAACTATTAATCATTTCTAAAAATTTTAATCTCGGAAGTGAAGTTAAATTAATTAGTTTTCAATTTAGTCTCTGTGATTAGCCTATATCAGGCAAATAAGTTTAATTTATAATTCCATTTAAAATGAAAGTCCAATTCTAATTGAGTTAATAAAGTTGAAGTTAAGTAATAGTTTTCACAAAGAGTTTTAAAATTTTCTGGCCATCATAAGTAATTATGATTGTTATAATTATTTGAATTTGATAAAATAGTTTTCTTTAATTAAGTCTGTGGTTAAGCGAAATCAGTCAAATGTGTTTTATTTAATTCACTTTTATTAAAAAAGAAATTTTGTTGTTGAATGTGCACCAGGAATTTTATGAAGTTGCATGTCATTAGTAAGTATGATTAGTATTATTGAAATTTGATATAAAAATGCTTCATTGTTTTTAAGAAAAATACTTTTTTTGTGCTCTTTTATTTGTAATCAATATATTTGTTGTACAATATTGATTGATGAACAAAATGACTCACCAGAAACAGTATTTTTTAAAGTGTACTGTAATATTGATTACAAAATGAAACTCGTGATTGTTAACAATTTTGAAATATATTTTTTTGCTGAAAAAAATATTATTAAAAAATATTATAGGCGGATGCTTTTTTGTGAAATATTTAATTTGCAGTTTAATGTGCAATGAAAGTTTAAATCCATTTGAATGATTTTTGGCCATATATAATCATGTTTTTACATTATTTTTATTTGTAAATTTTTTGCGGTTATCAGAAACTGCACGATGGCACTTCAAGTTCATTAGTTCTGTTAACATAACAAAGAGTATTTTTTAAAGTGTTAAAGTAAAATGAAAAAACACAAAAAGCATTTTTTCATAATATTTACTCGCTTTTTTGCAGTTATAACAATCGTAAATAGGAGGATAATCTAATTATTTTACAGAAGAATATATAATACAAACTTCGGGCTAATTTTTACATTGTGTGAAAAAAAAACGTTTTAAACTTTTTTCATTTCCAGTTAAATTTAAGACATTAATATCAAAAATGGGAATTGTGAAGCATTTTTTTCTCATTATTTTTAAAAAAAGGAAAATTTTGAAAAGTTAATTCCTAAATGAGTTTTTGTCGAGTTGTGTAAAATTAATTAAGTTTTTTCTTTTTAAATGAAAACTTTCTTCAAGACAATTCTTCTATCAATTTTTGTTAGAACAATTGAGCTGGTTTTTATTTGTGCGTTTAATTACTATGAAACTAATCTTCAATGATGTTTAAATCAGTAATAGTAGTAGACTAATTAACGTATCACTTCTAGAAAATATTTTTGTACTGTTTATATTTGTTGTTATAAGTATCTCCTTACATTAAAAAATCGGAAGATCCGCTATCACTGTTTTTCAACATAACGTTAGTTTTTGTTTTGCTATCCAAAGACGTAGAAACGGGAAATTATTAAAGTTTCAAAAAATTGTACAGGGATTACGATGGATAAAAAAAATAAACATTTGATAATTAGTTTGAAAATTATTAACTGCTAAACTTGTCAAAAAAAATACCATACGGGCCGCTATAATATCATGTAACCGTAGGAATACAACTACATAGCTGAAATTTGACTTGCTGAAAGGTCCATTTTTGTTTACGAACTTAACCTAAACGTTTTGAAATTTCTTTTTTTTCCAAATGTTATTGAAATTTTAAAAGCTTCCAGAAAAAGAGAAAAATGTTGTAGCGACGATCAAAAGTCCCTTTAACTTTTTCATGAGGAATGTTATAATTTAAATAACATAGAAAATTTGTGAAAAGAACAGTGACCCAAAAATTGAAAACTTGGATTTTATTTTGATCTAATGATCATGCCAGAGCAATAGACTTTTTATTGACCTATCAATTCAAATATTTTTTTATTTTACCATTTGAAAAAGCCGTGTATTTAAAATTCGATTTCTTAGGAGTTATTTAACCGATTTCCTTCAATTTTCTCTTGCCATAAAAAATTACATTCCCTAAAACGAATAAAAAAATTTTGTAATTTTTGATAAAAATTTCTTCAACTATTACTAATAAAATAATAAAAATATTAAATAATTAATAAAAAAATACTTTTGGCATGAAACTATCTTTGACTAAAGAAATGTACAATTGTGTGAAAGGATTTTCTATTTTGCATAAGAAATTATCGAAATATTGCGAGCTAAGCAAAAAGCAAAATTACAAATTTTGACTGCTTTCTTTATCAAACTTTTGAGTCCTTACTTCTCACCTACCCGCTACATTTTGGTTGTCCAAAATCGTAATTAATCGAAAAAAAGGTATAGAAAGTACATTTTTGTGACTGATTTCGTCACTTAAAATATCGTCTGCACTAACTAATGAGTATATTTAAGAGTTAATTTATCAATGATTTATTATTAATAAATTTATTATTAATTAATTTATTAATTTATTAATTAATGAGTACATTTTTTCGCACCATTGATTTCTTGTTCATGAAAAGCTGATCATTGGATCAGATAAAAATTCCAATGTTTCTTGAGAGAGGTTAGGATTCGTCACCAAGCGAAATGAAAGAGGGCGTAGAATTCATGCAATAAACTGAAAAATCTGAATTCTTATGAATTGATCGACAGAGAGCATGAAGATCGGCTCATGTGACGGACAATTAAAAATTTAAGACGTTATCGTAATTAAATGTTTGCTCAAGGTCACAACAGTGTTGAGCAAAAGATGGTTTCGAAATCTTGACATGTTTGTCATGTTCCCTTTATCTAAATTTTAATTCATGTCTGGTTTGTCTAGTAATGAAAATGTGATTTAGTTAGTTCCTTTAAATATCCTTCTCATAATGATAATCGCAATGCTACCTTTGCTACCTTGGTCAAACCAAACTTCATTAAAACCAGACAAAATTCTTTTTTTTTTTTAAAATATGTACGCTTTAATCTAAAATAATTTCACAAATTAGAAGGAAAAAAACGAGCATCGTATCCAGCACGAGCATCATAGATAAAACAATTTAAGACTTAAAATAATGAAAAACAATGGTCACTTAAGTATTTCTTATATGTAAAACATAGATGGTCGTGTAATTTTTTTTTATAAAGATGCTCTTAGAAGTGTGTTTTATCTAAACTAAATCTTTTAATAATAACGAAATTGCTTACAGATTTGACTTTCACAACAGACGGATATTTGACAAAAACGGAAAGTAAGTGTACATGCTTAATAAAAAAATAAACTTTTGCAAACTGTGGGGGGGGGGGGGTGTNGGGGGGGGGGGGGGAGTTGTAATTTAAAAATTAAACATATTTCTGACATACTTACGCAATTATTTAACAAATTCATATTTCCACAGTTTTATTCGTTTTATACACTGTTAGAAATTTCTCGGAAAAAATGGTTAAATAACAATTTTTTGAATGGTTATTTTACCATATTTAATCAAAACAGTCAAATAACCTTAAATGAAATGGTAATCAAACTGTTAAGTTTGAGAAAAATTGTTTCTTAACTGTTTATTCACCTTATACAGTTAAGCAACCAGAATTTTATCGCACCCACTAGAATGACCTAATGAAGCTACTTAGTTCTTTGCAAATGTGTACATATCATAGCCGAGCGGACTTATCTGTCAATCTCATGACCGGCAGAACTGGAGTTCGAGTCCTAGTGTTGACGCTACAATATTTCCTCCGTTCCCTTCAATACGTGAAGAATTTCCAGCGTCCGGTACTCTCCAATGCCCATTGCCTTACAAAAAGGCGAGCTCCTATGTTTAGTTAAACAATTTTCTTTTTGCGTTTCTGAAAAATGCTAGTGGTAAATAGTTAAAAAGCCGTATAGTTTTGTATTCATGGTTTTATAACCATACTTTTTGTAAATGGCTTCAAAATCGTAAAGAAAAAAAATGTTCTCTACCGTAAACTTTACGGTTAATCGGATGGACAGACAGTTGCCAGTTATTTTACCGAAATTTTAGAAGGAAAATTTTAACAGTGTATGAATTGCAATTTAAAATAAAGGCTTTATTTTAATAAAGTTTAAAAATAAGAAGAAAAAACTCCTTTAATTTTTTTGTTTTGTCAGTATGGGTTTTATTTTATTACTTAGTTTTCAAGTACGGAATGATCGTCAAATTTCAAAGTCTAAATAAGGAAAGTTTTTTTTAATATTAGTTTTACGTTAGAAGTTAAAGTTGCGGACGCAACATGCTTGTTTTGTGTTTCTTTTGAAGTAATTTTATGGATATTTTTGCTTTGTAAAAACTATAAAAATTTAGTACTTTCACTACAAAATCATTTCGAGACATATGCAATAAACAAATTGCTTACATACTTCATAGCCACAATAAGATAACGAGTTACGATAAGACCTACATGTAAAAATATCTATTTAATAAGAATAATAATAAATTGATGCTATCGTAAAAGTATTTGCTTAAAAATATATATGTTATCAACTTTTAATTTTGTATAATAAATTTTAACCCTAATTATAATCATTTACGTAAATTCTTTTTATGCAATTGCTTTATCATGTCAATAATTTTATCTGAGCTTTATTTAGAGGAAGATTAAAATCAGAAAAAGCTCAAAAAATTTCTTCATTTCTTTCACTTTAAAAATAAAATGTGTAAGTAGATTCTTTATTGTATTAGAATTATGCATGTTTTCTTTGCAAAGAACAAAAATGAAAACTTTGAAAACTTTCAAATTGTTCAAACAAATATTTATAGATTTCACTACCTTACTAGGTCAAATTTCAACATTATTCAAATGTAAGTATAAATTATTAATAAAATTTGATTTAGAGCTAAATGCATACGTTTAAAATTAGACATTCAACTAACATTAATTTTTACTTAATTAATTAACAATAGTTCTATTTTTGTACATTAAAAAACGCATACTATAAAAGTTTTGTAAGTGTGAGATACTAAATTATTTTACTTATTTTGCAATTTTTTGAATATAATTTTTTTTAAAACCATTAAATATGTTTTTATTTACTAGATGATGACCTCATGAAAAAGTTAAAAAAAATAGAAACGCTTCATTTTTATTAATTTCGGTTTAGAAAAAATCTATAGATGTAGTTTTTTAATTATTGTAGTTTTGCGCATATTCTAATTAATAAAAAAAATTTAAACGTTTAATTTAGTAATTTCTTAGCATATAGTTTTAAAATTATATACAATTAAAAATTGTTTTAGGTTTTACTACTATTTTTTAATAAAAATGAACTGATACTGACATTTATTTAAAATTATATATACTGTTAACATACACTTTTACACAACTATTAAACAATTTTTACATTCTTTTACCATAACTTACTTTACGTTAAACAATGCATTACAAAGCAATTTTGTCATTGCGAGTTTCTTGTTTATTTCGTAAGTCATTAAATTTGTTGTAAGTTACTGGAATATAATCGAATGAAGAAGTTAACATGGCAGTAATGATAAAGGAGAGATGATCGTTATTCAGCTCATAAAACTGTGAAGCTGCTCCACGTCTCACTGCTTATATATTGTTTATTTATACCTCGACCCGCCCTATTCAGGGCACACGAGAGTAGAACAAACATTCTACTGACAAAACATACATAAAACACAAAAAATTACATTAGCAACAAGTATAAATGACATATAAAGAATAAATTAAATTATGAAAATATTTACACTATAAAATACAAAGGCATAGAGAAATGCCTTAAACAAAAAGCATAGAAAATAATTTTAACTTAATAGTAATGAATTTACATGGCAGATAAGTAACTCGAAAACATAAGAAGATTATTTTGACAGCTGTCAAAAGTGTAAGGCTCTCAAGGAGGCTGGATAGCAAGAATTTTGAAGGAAAATATGAAATAAGAAAAAATAAAAATAAAATAAGAGTCATCTACAAAAAGTCTGCAATGAGGAAAAAAATGTTTATAGAGTTTCTCTAGCGATAGGTATATTCAACAAACATATGTGAATAGATTGAGAAGAAACTGAGAAGTTATAGCTAGAAGGTGGTAACAGTTAATACACATTAGAACGTGATCGTAATTCAAGCAGGGTCTGGCGATGCGCAGGGCAAGTGATGTCTGAGGCTTGATGATAAGGATTATGGCTGGTTCCAAAAAAGGTATTGGTGTGCCAGCAATTGATGCAATATTTTTCGTCGGAGTGACATTCATTTGTGTGATGGTCGCCTTCGCAGTTAGAGCAAGTGGCGAATTCTTGAGTGCAAGAGTGGGTGGAATGATCAAGACCTTGACACCATGAGCAGCGTCGAAGAAGAATTCTTTTTTTGATAATGCATCTGTTAAGGCCTATATAGATGTGTTTTGTCCTCAGGAGTTGTTGAGCAAGCTTTTGCGATACATTGACAATGAGATGTTTTTTGTCAACATGTTTTTTGTGAGGTATTGACTTTATATAACCATCACTGCTTATATATAACCATTCATAGGGTGGGTCACATTCACACGTCACATAACAGAGGACAAGCAGATCGAGAAACATCTATGCCTCTAGTGAGATTCGTATCCACGTCTAGCTTCTCCGATACGTAGCAGGGGCCAGCAAGGTCCCTCTGAATGACAAGAAAAGCTCCAAAGGTTTTTGAGCCGACGCATGGGCCATCTTTCAGTCATCATAGCGTCTCTAAACTTGTTTAACAACAAATATTTCGCCATCTTTAAAGTGACTGTTTAAAGTGGCATCTTTAAGTAACCGATATCTATTTAAATTATGCTCCTATGTAAAAATAATAAATTATATTTATTTTTTAATGAATTCGTCGCAAGTAAATATTTTCCTTCTTTAATAAGTAAACCTTTTTCAAAACAAGTATCTAAGTATGTAAAGAAGAAAAGCAGACGGGGTTTGAGTCACTTTTCATTTGCTATTTACATGAGTGGGGAGAGACAAGGAGAAAGGTGTTTGTTGGGAGCGGAGAGGAATGGGGTTGCTTACGGGGTAGGGACGGAGGGACCCTCTGTAAGGAAGCAGGTTGTTTTCCTAGCAATACTTCCACACCTGGATGGAGATAGCCGCTGCCTCCGAAACAGGTTTACATGGGGGCCTATGAGAGCTGGTCTTCTATCGACCACGTGACTGCCTAGAACCTAATACAGACAAAATCGTTGTAGTACGTATGTTTCAACGCATGAAAAAAATACGTTTAGGGAACACGGGTTATTATTAAGTAGTAAAATAAACAAGTATTGCAAACTCTCTCTATATATTGCAATACTATTAAGAAAAAGTATTGCAAACTTCCAGCATTGTAGGTGCATTGAACTAAGAAAAACGTATAATATGTTTACTTGATAACCGTGGTGAATGTTTAATAGTTTTTTTTTATTATCTTTAAATGGTAAAAGATTAAAAAAATGAGCAGGGAACTTAAATACCGATAGTCGAATGAAATTTTTTATGAATTCCCCAATAGACAAATTTAAACGAGAAGCTTAGTTTTATATGTATTTAATTAAATAAATGAATAAACAAATTAAATAGATAAATGAATATATAATTAAGTAAATGAATAAACATATTAAATAGATAAATGAATATATAATTGCATAAATGAATAAACAAATGAAACAAATAATAAATAAATAAACAAATGAAAAAGATAAACAAACAAATGAAAAAATAAATTATTTAAAAACCTAACTTTCAAACACTACGTAAGTACCACCAAAGTTTGACTCGTTATAGAGCACTAAATATGAAAAATTCTATACTACTACGCAGATATTACTGTTCGTGACAGTAGCATACTAACTGAATAAACCAGATTTCCACGATCAGCTGTCGCCATTTTGAATAGCACGAGGTTAAATTCTTCAAGACTCTAGTATTTTCTAACCAACGTCGCTCATTTTAGGCTTATTGCATTGAGCTTTGAGAATACTAATTGAAAATTGCATGATTCATTGCTCAATTTGCCTGATTAATTTCTAACAGTTTGGAATCAGCCTAGAGCTCATTATACTCAGACTCATTAAAAGTCTATAGCAAAAAAAGAAAATTGAAAAAAAAAAGCAAATTCTGTCTGCTGGGTGATGCTTTACTCATTTCCTTATTATCCTGAACATATATAGAATGGTTTTAATTAGCTTTAAATAGAAACGAGATTTGAAAACACTGAGCACTTTTGTACCTAGCCTAATGAGCTGTAAATTTTTGAATTATAAATGTATAAATTATAAATTAAACATTTGTATTAGCATTTGCAATAATTTATTGATTTTTCAACTAGCCTACAACATATATATACGATCATGTAATGAAAATATATATTTTGCGAATAATTCTTTTTCCAAAAGCCCTACAGTAAAAGTTATAAAATCATAAAAGGATTTATTTTTAATTGAATCTTCATGCATCTCAAATTATGAACAAATTTGCAAACTAAAGAAGTTTATCTATGCTTCAATCATACGTCATACTTTGGAAATATCTCCTAGAACGGTTTTCTTTTATTTATCACATGTTTTTTGACAAGTTAAGAATCCTGCAATATAGAATTCTGGTACAGATTAAATATTGAAACTTATCTTACAAGAAAAATAATACATCCAATAGGCCAATTCTTTATAAAGTAAGTTAAAACCTTACTTAATCTCACTTGTATTTTGAACGTAAGCATTGTTGATGGTCGACTTTATTATTTCCTTTTCTTTCAAATCAACCAACCACCTTGATATTCGTTAAAAAATTGTGTTACATGCTGAAAAAAAAATAGTTTCAGTGGTAGCTAATATTAGACTTAAAGTAAGAAACACTGAAGTGACAGATTAATTTTAATACACAGTTTAAAGTACAGTTTGTGCTAATTTTGTTGCCAAAAAAATAAAATTCATCGTTATCATTTATATTTAATAAGCTATGGTAAAATGGACATTTTTTTCTTATTGTAAACAGAATATAATATTTACTGGTAGAGCGAAGCAAAATATTTTTTCGAAGCAATTTTTGTACAATAATAACAAGTTTTTTTATTTATTTTTTATTTTACATCATAGCAATAGAAATGCCGGCAGTAATACCTAATAACATTAAAAGATACATGTGCATATACAAGTTAAAATGAAATATATCTTAAGCATAAATTTGAATTATCTATGCCTTGAAAATATGAAAAAAATATTTCACTGTTCAACTGAAAGATAGTAGCAGGATTGGTTTTATTTTATAACATTGAAATTTGCTTCTGAAAAGCATAGCTAATTTTTAATCTGGTTCATATGTTATATTAAAATAATGAAAACATACGATCAGAATACTTTAACGGGAGTGTTTATAGTTTGTTCCCCATGAAGGCAGATAACAAAAAAATATAACGGTTCTAAAATGATGATAAAAGTTGATTTCTTTTTAAATATTATAAAAGTAGTTAACACTGCAGAAAAAGAAGAGAATTTTATTGAATTAATAAAAAATAAAATTTAAATAAATGACACAAAAACATTGACTTTTAAACATCGTGTAAGTACCTCTACAAATGAGCAGATATTTGTGAACAAAAAAAAAGTAAAAGTTATAAGTTACAATTGTAGGTTTTGCTTGTTAGATTTAACAGTGAAACGAAAATGTCTTATTTAATAGTACTAAAAATAACATCACCAACTATGGGCGCAATTCTATTTTAGAAAAACACGTTAGTAGTAGACCGCGTTGTATAAAGTGACGTCATCAGAGAACGACAAGTAATGCTTTTTTCAACCGGGTGGATGGCTTCCACATTGTATATACATGTTCAGATTTAATATTTCTTAATATATACCTCATTAATTATTTTGCGTAGAGTTTTTGTAAGAATTCAAAGGGGTTGGCTATAGTTGATTTGAGCACGCTGCAATCAATAAACAGAAGTTAATAAATTTTGTAATTGAAATTTGATAAATCTGAAGAAAAAAAATAGCATCAAATTTTCCAACAATAAGTGCCTCGGAGACTAATGGAGTAATATTGAAATGAATATTATAAAATTTCTTCTTTCATTATATTAAAATTTAACTAATATTTATTTGTAGAGATTCTAGGATATAGAGATGAAAGGGGGAAATGAACATTGTTCAGGTCAAAAAATTAGTTGCTCAAATAAGCCGGGCAAAAATATTTGCTGATCTTGTATTTAGGGATATAAAGCAGATATAGATTCGAAACTATGCAAAGATAATTTACAATATAATCTAGTAAGAAAAAAGTTTGTGCCAGCGTCTAAGCGTCTCTGTCTTCAAAATCAAAAACTAATACAGATTTTCAAATTCCGACATTGGTCGCAGGGAGCATTTTTATTTCCCAAGTGAAAAATTTGTTCATAATTCCTAATTTGTTTAGGAGAGATGGCTTAAAAATGATTTTTTCTTAAATGTTTAGTATTAACTATTGTCATAAAGTAATCTTTAGAGGATTCTGTTTCTTTCGCACATTTATAATATAATAGAAATGAATAAATTAAGCTTTTGCTCTCAATAGTAGATATTTTTCAAGTATATAAATATATAATCTCGACGGAGATATTAGCAATAATCAGAAAGGACTTTATTTCGCAGGAACATTTTTTGTCCTCTTTTCTTATTCTGTTTTTTACTGTCCAAATTCTACAGAAAGTGAGTTTCTCATTTTAAATATATGTTTAGATATAATCTTTCTTAATATTTATTTTTTTTTTTTTTGCCTACATTTTTTTGTAAAAAATCAAGGAGGCTGCTTTATTTGAATTGAGCACCCTGTAATTTATTGTCAAAAGGTGATAACATTTGATTTAAATAAAAAACATCAAAAATAAGACCACAGATGCAAATATTCTATAATTGTAATGAATATTAATGGAATTACTTCTTCATAATAATATTTAAATATTATTTATTTGTAGAGATTCTAGGATGTGAAGATGTAGGGGGAAATCAAGACTGCTCCCATAAAAAAAGAATTTGCACAAATAAGCCGGATAAGAAATCGGAGTATGTTTGCGGTCCTTGTATTGAAGGATATAGAGAAGATACAGACACGACACTATGCATAGGTAATATACATAATAATGTATAAAGGTAAGAGTTTCAGCTGTAGTCAGTGCCTCTCTGTCTTATAAATTCAAAACCAAATGTGATTTTCTAATTTCGACATTGGCCGCAAGGAGCATTTTCATTACCCAATTCAAAAAATTTGTTCAAAATTCCTAATTTGTTTAGGAGAGATGTCTTCATAATAATATTTAAATATTATTTATTTTTAGAGATTTTTGGATGTAGAGATGAAGGGGGAGATGAAGACTGCTCCGATAAAAAAAGAATTTGCACAAATAAGCCGGATAAGAAATCGGAGTATGTTTGTGGTCCTTGTATTGAGGGATATAGAGAAGATACAGACACGAAACTATGCATAGGTAATATACATAATAATGTATAAAGGTAAGAGTTTCAGCTGTAGTCAGTGCCTCTCTGTCTTATAAATTCAAAACCATATGTGATTTTCTAATTTCGACATCTAAATTCAATTCTTTCTAATAATCATAATCATAAATCAATTCTTTCTAATAATAAATTAAAAACGGAAAATAGTGTTTTTGTACAACATGTGCCAAAAAGTGTTGGAATAAATTTGAAACTTGTAACAACTATTTTGATTATTACGTAGCTTAAATATTTTTGAATGTAAAGGCATTTAAAATTTTTTTTTTGTCAAACGTTTTTTTGTGATAACTTTAAAATATTTAATATAATTATTCATTAGGCAACTATTATTCGTCTAAATAAAATTAATCATGTAACTGTCATTTAAAACGCGTTAGAATCACATAATATCTAATAGCTCATATAAATAATATCTGAAATAGCTACAAATAAAATTACATTAATGAAATTATTAAAAGCAAATTAATTAATCTACACCAATGTTTACCAGTAAAAAAAAGGAAGTGTAATTTATCATGAACTTTTACTCATCTAAACAGAACTGACGCATGTGTGTGTTATTTTACAACACGTAAGAGTCAACTGATATCTAATACCTCCTCTAAAAAAATTAGGAACTTCTTCTTTTACACAAAAAAGTTTCAAGGCTTTTATTTTAATATAAACTCGTAAAATGTATCAGGATACCAAGGAAAAAGATTAAAAAAATTAAATAAATGCATAAAGGATCAATCTTTGTTAATAATAGGCATCTATTTCCTTGGTATACTTCGAGGAATTGTTAAACTTAAAATATAGCTCTGAACTAATGCTGAAACTCCGCAAATAATAAGAGAAAATTAAATTATATGTTGAGCCGATTTACAGAAATTGGTTTCTTTTAATTAAGCATTTCTGCCCATTTATAACTACCTTCTTCGGTTTTAAAGTATTATTTTTTCAGTGAACATTAAATAATGTTGGCAATTGATGGCAATAGACAACATTAAAAACATTTGAAGTAATAGTTTGGATCTTTGACATTTTTGTAGTTGGATTATAAAAAATGATTCGCAAGTGCCGTGATATGTATGTAGGGACCTGCGTTAGCTTGAAAGAACTTAATTTTAAAGGGGACAGGGAGTAATTCTCTTTTTGGGGGAAGGGTAGTTGTAAACTTAGTAATAAAAAATACAAAAAAAAATACTAACTGAAAGGTTATTTAGGGAGTCGTCTTATTTAAAAATTATGAATTTTCTTCGTAATAATTTTTTTAAATTTCTTAAATTTTTTCGAAGATATTCATGAATGCAAACCCACTGACTGTACTGGAAAGAATACGGATTGAAGCCGTATTCTTACGGATTATACGAATACGGATTATTAGAATACGGATTAGAATACGGGATTATTGCCTTTCGCGGAAGCGAAAGGCAATAAATATACTTGTGAGTGCAAAGTAGGTTTGTAGATGATGCTAAAAAAGTACGTAGTAGATGAAGTTTGTAGTAGATGAAGCTAAAAAAGGACAAAGAGATGCGACGTGCGTTGGTAAGAAATACTTCTGATTAATACGAGTTATTCCTTTCCAAAATTTTTAAAAAATATCAATGAATTATAAGAATTAAATATTGAATGAGGATAATAAGATTTGAATAAACATGTGAAAAATTAGAAAAGAAACAAGAGAAATTATCTTTTGTCATGCAAAAGATCTTAGATATTATTGTCGTTCTAATACACTTTTAAAGTAATATATATTATATATATATATA